TCAAATGAGGTGGTTGGCCATAAGCATGATCCAAATGAGTTGCTCGTTGGGCTTCAGACGGGGCCTGTGATGCGGGTCTGGCGTACAAATGATCTCCTGGTGTCACGATGCTCTCCTTGCCTGATTCAAGATGGACAAGTCCCAGCTCCTTTTCGAACCCAGGGTTTGGAGGTTGTGGTTGTCCCCTGTAGGGAACCATTTCCCAAGCGTTCACCCGTTGGATGTCAGGACCAGCTCCCACGTGATATTCTCCTTTGCCGACGTATGAAATGACCATGAATGGGCCAATTTTCTGCATCCGGAATTACCGCTTTGCCGCATGAGTTTCCACTGTAGGTAACCTGGGAAAGACAGCAATTAAATCGCCTGGCTGAAAATGCTTTAGTTTCTTTTTATTTGCTTGGGTGATGAACTCCTCGCAATGTGCTTCGGCGTGACGCTGCAGCTTCTCCAACTCAATCGGGCTGTTGTCTGGAGTTGCCCCAAACTGGCAATCGGCCTGCAAAATGGTGCAGCGGCCAAACATAGCTTCGGTTGGTGTGACCCCTGTTGCGGAGTGTATTGTATTGTTATACGCCTGTACCAAAGCTGCCAAATGTTGCGCCCAGAGCTTGTCGTTACCTTTTGTTGCCTTAGCCTGTATCTGCAAAAGAGTTATAATGGAACGCTCACAATACCCGTTACCTTCTGGGTGTGTAGCTTGCGCCACATGTTGTGCTATATCATACCCGCAAAGAAAATGTTTAAAGGCATGACTGGTAAACACAGAATCACAATCGGAATGGATGGTTTCAAACAGTCCCACTTGTTGAAAGAGTTCCGCTAAAAAGGGGATTACCGTTTGGGTGTCTGCTGCAACGATGGGTTGTGTGACCATGTACTTACTAAAATGATCAACGGCCACAATTGCGTAGCAAAAATTCTCGTCAGTAAGAGGCAAAGGACCGTAAAAATCCAACACAAGGCGTTCACGTGGACGGTTAGATTCCACGTCGCTCATATGCAGGCCAAGGGTTTGTGTTGGTTGGTTGTACCTGAAACACAGATCGCAAGGGAGGATACGTTTCCAAATTTGTTGGCGCATTTTCGACCAGAAGAAGCGTTTGCGGAGGGTTAAGTACACTTTCTTCCACCCCGCGTGCCCCAACTCTGCATGGTAAGCATTGATGATTCGGATTTGTTCGTCTTCATCTGGTTGTGGCCGGGCAGAAGCATTATTCAGTGAAATCCGGCTGAGCGCGTCAGGGGCTTGTAAGGAAGCACCAGGTCTGTGGATAAGCTCAAAATCAAAAATAGCCAGTTTAGTTTGCAGACTAATTAGACGTTCAGACTGTAGGTTCCCCAACAAAGCCTTGTGATCAGCGTACACGCGGAATTTCCTGTAAACCAAATGATGGCGAAATTTTTTTGTGACACTCCATACAATCGCCAGAAGTTCGCGCTTGGTGTTGGAATACCTGGTCTTGGCATCCTTCAGCGTTCTGCTGGCATATTCTATAACACGATCATAACCTTTGGGATCAGTTTGAACCAGGATGGCGCCCAATGAAATGGCGGACGCGTCGCAGTGCACGGCAATTGGCCATGTGGGGTCAACCCTTTTGAGGTGTGCTGTGTTGGCCAGAACAGTCTTGATATGCCAAAAGGCTTCCTCTGCTTCTGAGTCCCAATTAAGCCTGGTGGCTGGCTTGGGTGGTATTATGCGGCGGAGGGCTTTTTCTGAGTTTGAAAAATTTTTGGGCAGGTGGGCCCGCAGGTAAGTCGCCATGCCCAAGAATTGTTGCATTTGCCTCCTTGTTTCCGGTCTTGGGTAATTGCGCATGGCGTCCACATTTTGCTCGGCAGGGCGGCTGCCCATTTGATCCACCTCATAGCCTAAGAACATAGTCTTGTGGGCCAAAAAGGATGATTTCACGATGTCCATGCATGCGCCCGCATCCTGAAGAGTTTGCAGGACCAAGCCGAGATTCTTGCACAAGCTGTCGAAGGACTCGCCAAAAACAATGACATCATGACGTAGGCTAGGCACCTTTTGAATAAAAACGGTCTAAGAATAGTATTAATTGTGCGCTGAAAGAGCGCTGGGCCGGTCTTCATCCCAAACGGTAACACTTTGTATTGGACTTGTCCCCGTGGTGACATGAAAGCAGTCTTGGGGCGATCCTCCTGCGCTATTGGCAAATAATGATAACCTGCATGAAGATCTAAAGTGCAAAAGTACCGATTATTCCGACCCGAGGCTTCAAGCAGTTCCTGCACAGTCGGCATTGGATAATGATCAGGCAGAATTAACTTATTTAGCTCTTTGTAATCTTCCACCAGCCGGAAGCGTTTTTTGACTGGGGTGGATGGATCCTTGCACTTTTTGTCAACTAGGAAGGTTGGCGCGTTGTAGGGAGATGCGGCGGGTTCCAGGATACCTGCTTCAAGATGAATGTCAATCAATTCAGAAAAAGGGACGTTACGTTCAACAGAGTGGCGGAATTGACGCACGGCTGGAGGGGAGGCCTCCACTTTGGGAATACGAACAACATAATCCACAAAAAAACCGCGTCAACCAGACCACTGTTGGATCAGTGGCGTAAATTGTTTTAACAACTGCGTAATGCGTGCCCGTTCCATGGGAGTCCCATCAACAAAGGGATACCCAATCCCGCAGGAAGCATAGGCTTCAAGGGCATGCGCATTACCTTGTGAAACCCCGTAAAAACGCGTTTGCCATCAAGGGTTATAGCCAGAGGCAATTGTAAAAGAACAGTGCGCCCCAGTATAATGGGGAACTCACGCATGCCAGGAAGTACAAGAAAAGCACCCTGATGTGGTGTGCCTTGAAAGTAAAAAACTATCAACCATGCGAGAAACGCAAAAGGCATCCAGACCCAATGCTGTGCCAACGGTGGTGCACAGTGGAAGCAAAGGCAGCCCGAGCTGGTTTGCGATGCTTTCGGAAATAAATGAATGAGATGCCCCCGTATTGAGTAGCGCGGAAAAAGTTTGCCCAGCTAAACTGACCTGGAGGAGAATGGGAGGAGGAGCGGCAGGGAGATTCATCATGTAACAGTGCGCCGCATTCACTGAGACGTCATGGCATTTCCCAAAATCAGCGGGCATTCCCAAGCATGGTGCCCGGGCTGATGACAATGAAAACAAAGGTTTGACGTGCCCCCGGGAGCCGCGCCTTGCGTCACAGTCTGATTACTTGTACCCAAACTTGTCCGGTTGGTTGTTGTGTCCTCTGACTTGGAACCGGTCTGTGCTCCAAGGCAAAGGCATAATCAGCACTCCTGTGAACTGTGCCGCATCTGGCGCTTGTGATAGTTGCAGTACTGCTTTGGCGGGAGCTCCTGCTTCATCCGCAAACCAGTTTTTCCTGTTGATGATCTGGTGGTTGTGGGTCGATGGTTGATCCAATAGGATTCAGCAACATTGATGAGATTGTCCCACGTCATCATGCGGTTGCGGGGCCACTTCTTTTGGAGTTCCTCCTTCATGCCGGGTTTGGCAATGTTGACAAGCTGCTCCTTCAGGATGTGTTGGAGAAGAACTTTGCCGTCCGTGAGCTTGTCCGCTGATAGCTGGGTGTAGGCTTTGTACTCCTCTCGTAGTAGTTCCCCGAAGCTGAAGAAGCTCTCCTTGTTGTGCGGCTTCATGGTCCAAAACCGTTTCAGGTGGTCGAGGTGCAGTGTGGGATGGCGTAGGGCAATTACCGCGACCAGCGGCTTGAAATCCACAATCCCCCGCTTGTACAACCTGTTGCTTGGATGTGCGGTAGCGTGTTGTCAAGCAGGCAGTACACGCGATGCTTGTCTGTCACCCATCCCGCTGCTAGCATGTTCCGCAGGCGCGTAGCAAAATCTTCAAACTCCTTGATCGTGCGTTGCTTTGGGAGGGTCGGCATCTGCAGATTGGTGATCCACTGAGGTCGTCGGGTGGGTATGGTTGTCGGTGGGTCCAACTGCTCGTCATCGAAGCTGGTCCGACGTGGGATGATTGCCCGTTTGGTGCTTCTTGAGAGAGTTTGGAGAGCCGTAATCGGGATTTGAAAGCGTTTCAACTGCGCTGCATAATTGGACTTAGCTGCGGTGGGCGGGTGCCCAAGATGAAATTTGTCGGCAAGCATCCAAAGGGTGGATAAGGGTAAGGACTCCCACACGCTTGACTGAGAAGAAGCGCGGGATGGCAACCGTTCCTCCTCGGGAGGTGCGTCAGTGTCCTGGAACTCCTTGTCCTCTTCGGCAATCATGGCGAGGTCCACGAGAGCAGAAGCCGCGGCTTGCCTTGAATTTTTGGTATTGCAAGGCATCATCGAACTGTGGTGCCGGCATGTAGCGTAGGTTGCACACGGTAGAGGTGTGACTTTGAGCCCGCAATAAGGTTTTGAGAGGGACGGAGAGACTTCAACACCATGCTCCTAGGTTACACGTCATATATTCCTCGGCACACACAACACTTATTCAATGGTAGGTCAAAGATAAGAAGAACACAATGTTCAGGGTCAAGAGCTCTTAACAGAATGCCATCCTTTCGTCTCGCCCCCCGGCTCCTCCGAGTTCTCCCCCTGATCAAGGGCCTGTTAACAAGAACGGGAGTGGGAACGTTGGCGCGCGTTACCGCGGTTAGGGATAGGTGTCGCTGTTGAGGGTAAGGATGAGTCCTTACTAAACACCCCCACTTGGACTGGAGCCTTTGATGAATCAACTCCTCTCAACTTTGACTGCTGTTGTATTATTGTTGTGTGTTTTGTGAAATAATAGTCCAGTGTTCGTGAAGAAAGGTCTGATTTACTTCATAACCTTATTCTATCTGACAGCATCTTCTATCTGTGGCCTTTGTGCAAGTCTTACTGTTTATGACCATGAAATATATCAGTGTTGGTGAAGAAGAGGTCATCTTTAATCACATCCTTATTATTTTGTCAAAGAATTTTCTCAAATGATCTGGACCGATTTTGGAGTGTTCATGCCGGTTGTAGAGACATATTCTTATAATGTTTTGAATTCTTTTTTACTGGATCTGCGATAGCGCTCCAAGTTTTCTCAGCTCTCATGGTACTGATATTTAGTGCGCTTTTGTTCTGTGCGATGCCAGCATCCGTTAGTGGTATGTTTTGGATCTGTGTTTAATCTTTTAATTGTGTTTGAAGAGCTCCTTTTCTCCACAGGATGTTCAGGTTCCCTTCCATTTCTTGCCATTTTTTCATCTTCATTTGATTGTTGAGACGTAAGAACTGATGCTTCGCTCTACAGTTTTTGGCTTTCTTGAGAATCTAAATTGTATATTGGTCTTCGTAGATCTTCCAGAAATTTTCCGACCGTCAGAATGGCTCGTCGACTTATTGAAACGAACATTGAAATGGAGGAAGCGTCGAAGGGGAATGGCTTCGATCGATATTCTCCTGGGGTTTCCACGATTTCAGTCAGTATAGTCGTTATACGATTTATCTTGAGCTGAACTATGTTTTAATGCTGTGATGTTTCTGTTTTCACAGACACCAAATGAAGAGCTTTTCTTCTCTGACGGGACTCGTCGCATTGACTTCGTATTAGTGTACCAGAAATGCCCTGCACTGGAAACCGCTCAAAATTTGGCTGCAGTGTTGAAGCGGCAAGTTTTTGAAGAAAACCTTCTTGATGAAGGCTTGCACTTGGAACAAGACGTGCAAGACGACACTAATCTTGTGTTTGTGAAAATTCATGCTCCGCATGAAGTGCTTACGCGGTATGCCGAGCTTATGAAAATCAGGATGCCTATGAAAGAGGTTTGGTTGCGCAAGGTGAATCATGCTGCCTTAAACTAACGTGCATGTGTCCATTCTTTTTTGTCTCCCCGCCGCATGTTCCAGGAATACGAGCATCGAAGTTCATCCCGACGGACCTTCCGTTTGAGTGTGAGATTTATCCCTTACTTTTCTTACTTCCGACAGTTGGTTCATAAGTTTTGGCAGTCGTGTGCTTACTTTTATTAAACTCTCTTCGGATGAATGGATGTCATCAACGCATTTGCGACCATCACATCTCAACCACTGTCCCAATCGAGCCATACCCAAGTTGTAACGTAAAAAACAGCTGAAAGCTCGTCCCAACACGGGACGAAATTCAACTGCTAATAAACATCAGGCGCATGAAGAATCTTTATTGTGGCTTCATCCGAAGTGTTACAATCGTGTTCTGGTTTAACCTTGTAATCTTGTCAATTTCCTGTTGTTTATGCTGAATTTCATCCTTACCCGAAAGTGTCAAGCAAGATTTTTATCGATTCAGGTTCACAGCAGAAGAAAATCGTCTACCAAAGAACATAAATTTGTTAATCTGATTATTTCAATCTGGAAACTTTGCTGTCTTTCACGAAACTCGTTTCATGGTACTCGCTAACATTTTGAGCCAACCCTTGTATTCATGTTCGAATGTGAATGCAGTTCGTCGTACATGTGTTCCGTTAACCCGAGTACACTCCCTGTACCAATTTCTGATGGGCGCTGAAATTTCACTCTTGCTAAACTCTTCTGAATTGAAATTGTGACGTTGCAGCATGTTCTGTTTCTACGACCCTCAATCTGCTGAAGGGAATTAAAGTACAGTATTTCTTCAAAGAATAGACATAAAGAAGGAATGGTTTTGGATTCCCTCATTTTTCATTTGTGAAATGTCTCTACATTTAGTGCTGTTCCGATATTTCAATTACTGAATTTGAATTCTCGCGTTGTGGAAAGCGCCAAAGAAGTGTACTGTGAATAGCGGCTTTTTATTCCTTCCTCTGGTCTCAGATTGAGAAAAAAAAAATGACGATGAACTCAACTTTGTGGCATGGTAGCGTGGGAATTCAATCGCAACATCTGACGAGTTGAAAGCTGAATATTTTTTCAAACTACTGTAAAATGTAATGCTTTTGTTTTCTGACGTTTTGGATTACATTATTTCCATTTCAGTTCCGTGGAGCTGCCATCAACGTTGCGACACCAAATGAAGTTGTCCATAAGTTCGGAAATGTATGTTCTCGGCTGTTCAGTTTCCTGAACTTCAACAAGTCGGTGTTCCCTCCGCGAAGCAAGAATTTCACCGCCGTTTACAGCAGAGGAAAAGAATATTTGTTCAACGTGTCTGAGAGCATGTTTAATCCCGCGAAACGGATCACCGTAGTTGACTTCATCCTGAAGAGGAAAGGATTTACACGGACTGAAGGAGATGCTGAAATCGGTATTGACAAGTTATTAGCTGACAACGTCTACCTCGCCGCTTTTCCTTTGCACGAAGGAGACGTTCATGTTCCTGGTTCACTGAGGCACGATTTGCGGAAGTACTGGGGGTCTTTGTGGATGTTTTACAAGAACCAGCCTTTGGATTACGTGCGAGAGTACTTCGGAGTGAAGATCGGGCTTTATTTCGCCTGGCTGGGATATTACACGTTTATGCTTTTCCCGGCGAGTTTAGTGGGGTTCTTCTGCTTCCTCTATGGATGGTTCACTTTGCCGAACGATCCTGTAAGTCGGGATGTGTGCGATATGACGCGAAATGTGACGATGTGCCCGTTGTGTGACAAGTTCTGTGATTTCTGGCTTCTGAATGACTCTTGTTTACATGCGAAGATCAACTATCTGGTGGACAATCCGTCGACTCTCTTCTTCGCCGTCTTCATGTCCTTTTGGTGTAAGCATATATTTTTTTACAATCTCAGATTTAGTCCGTAGTCTCTACCAACTGTCTACCTGATCAAATCAGTAGTAGATATTCTGCGAAGTTCATCAAAATATTTACGTGGAGTTTTGCATACATTTCAGTCGGTTCGGAATTCCAAAAGTTCTCAGAATTGAGCAATTTAATTGGATGGATTATCTTTGTTCATCAACCTATTTGTTTCAATGCATCCAAACCTTCTTACTCTCAGATAGTTGACCATGCGACAAATGAAGAATGTGAACTTAAGCTGGAATGTTGTTTCGATCGACGGAAGAATGACAACTCCAACATTCACATTACCCTGCATATTTTAAATTTCTTGAATGAAATAGACCAGTAGGTTCCGGAAGTCCACTCGTATTTTGAAAAACTGCGCCAAGTTCATGTGATTTCTTTTGCGACAGCGGCTTTATTTTTCGAATTTTGGAAGCGTTATCGCGTTGCTGTGACGCACAAGTGGGACCTGACCGGATTCAACAAACTGGAAGAGCAGCCAAGACCCCAGTACCTTGCCAAACTGAAGAACACGGACAAGCGTAAAATGAACTACGTAACCCGGCAAGAAGAGCCTGCTATCCCTTTTTGGAGTCTGCAAGTTCCGATGTATCTCTGCTCCTTTTCTGCCGTGATGATGTTGATTCTGTTGGCCCTGGCTGCGATTTTCGGCGTGATTCTGTACAGGATGTCCACTCTGACGGCGCTTAGCATGCAAAGCAGTGATAATGTGTTGACTTCGTACGCCATGATGTTTACGACTGTCACTGCTGCCTGTCTCAACTTGGTCTGCATCATGATATTTCAGCAGGTTTGTTCATTTATTACGAATAAGCTGGAGGGTCTCCGTCAGCGCCTCTTTTTTCAATTTGAGAAGGATTTTCCGTGTGGAATAGGACCGAAGTATTTTTGAATGCCCTCGATGTGTCAAAACTTGGTGTGAATTATTGAGGACATGCTGACAAACACAACTGACGCATGTTTTTGTTAGTGGAAAGCATGTGATTTTACTATAGAAATCACTTCGGTCATGAATTTAAAGTTTCTTCGTTGTTGGCATTCCAGAAGAAAATGTACTATCTCCAACCGCTTCAATTCCATGAAGAGACATTTTGGTATCGTGCGCAATTGGCTTGAAAAAGCTAAAATTTGGGCTTATATTCAACTTGAGATGTTTAATTTTTTTGAAACGGATATATTATGCTGTCGAAAGCAATAGTTCATTTGGAAAATTAAAAATCTTCCAAACTTCATTTGCATCCACCTTAAAGTAGTGTAGATCAGTTTAATTTAATGAGCTAACACCCTCTGATACAGCATACAGTACTAGTTTTGATGATTGGACCACAATTAAAATGTTGGTTTGAAATATCTTCTGTCATCATTCCTTTTCCCCGAAGGCGTGTACGCTGACAGTGCTTCTCGTGATGCGTAAACCCTGACTTATTCGGAAACAGTGAATCAATACTTGCTCATTCAGCAAGTGTATATCTAATTTGCCTTCATTTTTGTCTTTGCTTTGCAGGTGTACTACAAACTAGCTGTGTGGCTGACAGAGTTGGAATCGCCGAGAACGCAGAGCGAATTTGATGACAGCCTGACTCTCAAGATTTACTTGTTGCAGTTCGTCAATTACTATTCTTCGATTTTCTACATCGCCTTCTTCAAAGGCAAAGTGATCGGCTATCCCGGGGAATACAAGCGCATCTTTGGGTTCCGACAAGAGGAGTGCGGAGTCGGAGGTTGCTTATTGGAACTGTTTGTCCAGCTCGCAATTATCATGATTGGCAAGCAAGCAATGAATACGGTGCTCGAAATTGTTTTACCGTGAGTATCAAGTTTCTACTTGTCCATTAAAGATTCGCTGAAGCGTAGCTTGTTTTGGAAGTATAAATAAATTATTCACGATGCTGAAGAGGGGGGGGGGGAGTCCTTGTATCACCTACCTCTTTTGCACAACCGCAAATGTTGAACGATTGAGAGAAAACAGAAAAATGTAGTCCTAATTGCTGCTTTCCCGTTGGAAATCAGTGTAATTCTCAATACAACTATTATTTCAGTAAAAGATACGAGGAAAGAATTTGTGAAATCATGAGGAAAACTACTTTTCTTCCCGCATAAGCTGTCGAGAGTAGCAAGCTGATGGTTGCCTGGTGTAGGCCAAAATTACGTTCTTCTTTTTCCCGAAGCCCCGATTAGTTGTGTCTATTGAGCTTGTGGCAAGGTTCTCCATCTTTCCATGAAACCATATTTTCGTAAAACTACAGTATATTCATGTTTTTTTTTTTAGTTACAGTGGTGCTTAAGACACCCTGCTAATTACTTTCTTCGCAGATTTCAAGTTTTTCCTTTCTGATTTATAGAATATTTTGGAAATGGGTCCAATTGGTGCGAAGTGGATTGAAGCACACCAACTCCGAAAACCTACCAAAAACGAGGCTTCTGAAGGATTTGAAGCTGATGGATTTCGGTTCTGACGGACTGTTCACGGAGTACCTGGAAATGGGTAATATTTCATGCGGTTTCCTGTCATAGAAACGGCTGAAAATGTTTTTTTTATGTGAATCTCAATTTATTTTATAGTGATTCAATTTGGGTTTGTGACAATATTTGTGTCGGCGTTCCCGTTGGCGCCGTTATTTGCCTTGCTGAACAACATTTTTGAAATGCGTTTGGACGCCGCGAAGTTGTTGACGTGGTACAGAAGACCGGTTGCTCAACGCGTTTTGGGGATTGGAATCTGGTACGATATCCTGGATGCCATCGGTAAACTTGCTGTGCTGTCAAACGTGAGTAAAGATTTTCACCGTATTTCTAAAACCGATTCTAGGAAATTTGTGATTAATGCATGAAATCAAGGTTCTTGAGGATAAAAATCAACATTTTCGTTTCGAAAGGTTGTGCAATGAACATCACCCGTTTCTGATTTTCTTTGGGGTGTTTCTTGTGTGTTTTTTTTGCTGTATTTAGAATTCGGTTTTCTCTACCTGTTTAGTTGAAGATTCTCAAACATGAGTGTGTTTTCTTTCATTTTCCTCAGGCATTTATCATAGCTTTCACGTCGAACTTCATCCCGAGACTGGTGTACAAGATCACGATGAGCTCAAACGGAACCTTGGACGGATTTGTGGAGGATTCTTTGGCCCACTTCAACGTGTCGGATTTTTCGTCGCTATACGCACCCAACACGACGGAGTCGATCACCGTTTGTAGATACGTTGATTACCGGCACCCGTATTGGAATCCCGAGAAATACCAAAACACGAGAACCTACTGGCATATTTTGGCCGCCAGATTCGCTTTCATCGTTATATTCCAGGTAAAGTACTTCGTGTTGGGGCTTCACTTTTAACCAAGATTCCGGTGAAAATCTTCTGTCCTCAAGAGGAAGTACTGTATGTGAATTTAAATATTTTTTTACCGAATAAATAAATAGTTATTACACAAACTTTTATTTACTTCGAAAATCATATTTAATTCTCCAAAAAATATTGCTTTTTTGGAAAACCCTTTTCCGTGGGGTTCGTTATCCCAAGTGTGGTCCACCCTTCAAAGAAATGTTGCATGTAGCATGTGTCCATAATTTGGGGTACGATTCTATAATTTTATCATCGCTTAAAACAGGGAGAAGCACAATCTAGGTTTAACTAAAATGTCATGGTCATGTTTTTTGTGGTTTGAGACTGCGTAGATTGAAAATGTTTCCAAGGTTTAACATTTTCTAATGGAATTGAATTCTTGCGTTTCGGCGAAGGTAAAGATGATCACTCTTTCAGTCGTAAATGACCGTAAGTTCGCCATTGAATACTTTTTCTTCTGAATTATCTGTAGGAATGAGACGGAATGGTAAAAAGTTTCGATTCATCCTTTTCGGATGCATTTTAAACATGGCATCGTCTTTTTTTTTCAAATTTTATTTTTACTGTGCAGAAATTCATGGGGGTTATGAATGATTCGGGAGTGCGTGTTAGAAGTCATTCGAATGCTTCAAGAGTGTCGAACTGGTTCTAACTCAAGATTCTTTTCATTTCTTATCGCAGAATGTTGTATTTTTCATGATTAACGTCATCCGTTGGATGATCCCCGACGTTCCAAAGAAACTTGCGGAACAAATTGCCAGAGAAGAGTTCTTGACGAACCAGTTGATCATGACGGAAGAACTCAAGCGAGCGAAAAACCAAACTTGTGCCCGAAGAATGTCATCTGTTGTGGGTGCGGATATTGTGGAAGGTGAGGAGAAGAAAGACTCAGGGTTAGTATTGCCAGGAATTTTAGCTTGAACCAGTGACATAATCGTACATTTGTGATTTCGGCATTGTTGAAGAAAAGAAAAACAAGCTTGAAGTAAATGGGTTTAATCTTTGGGGGGAACGAGAATCGAATTGCCATCGGGGGCTTACGCACAATTTATGCGAGGAAAGCTTGTGAAGCGATATTTTAGTCTGCTTAGATTTTTCATATCGTGAATTCTACGACCAAATATGCTTTTTATTTTTACATAGGTTAAGAGGTTGATGCAGGATGATTTACGGCCACTAGACCCACTTAAAATTTCCTACTTCAAGGAGATCTGAACATTGTATTGTGAAATTTGAAGGCAGGTGAAAAGTTTCTCCCCATGTATTTTCACAAAAATGGTTGTCTTCAGTAAGTCACGAATAACCTCCCTTTTTTGTAGCTCGAATTGCAAGCTCTATTTCCGTGAAACCAAACGCATTTCCGTTCCATCAATATTGAACAGAGTTCTTGGGATGATGTCCGAAGTCCCTTCCCTTTTTTAATTTTTCAAAGCTTCCGTTGACGTAAATTTAATGAATATTCGTTAATTACTACGTGAAACGTAATATTCATTCATGTGGGTCTAGTGCTGCGTGTATCATCCCGTATCTCGCGGTTTTCAAATGAAGGAAAAACGCTGAATGTTTCAAGTGCTAGGCTTTCGAGCCGTTGAACTTTGCGTCTTATTGATCAAACGAGTCTTACTTGAGCTCGATCGTGGAAGAAAAAGCTGCATTATAGGAATCTCTGCAGAGAATCGTCAATATTGATGTGTTTTGTGATGTTGTTATTTTGTCGCGTCACCCAAGAGATTGTCTTGAAGCAACGAAAGATATTGTATTACTGCTTGTGATGCTTTTGAACTTGAGAGGAGTAAGCTTGAAACCGAATCATTGCTGTTGCGAGTGTTCATGAAACTTGCCTTAGTAACTGAAAAACCGGCAGAATTTTTTTGAGTTCGTTTTATCGAAACTGAATCGGTTGTGTTGCTGGAACAACGTGCCTTTTTTTTTTTGTCCCTTTTTCACGCGGTCGTCGTGTTTGTAGCAATATATGTATGGTGTCGTTCGTTCAACTATTCAATTGGAGAGAAAGGAAATCTGCTTGTTGGGAAAGAATGTCTCAGCTTCTTTCGTGTATTTGAGGAAAAAAAAAATTCTGTCTGTTTTCTATCATGATCATCGTTCGCATTGTTTCCGCAGGAAGGAGGCTCCCGTTGAAAAAAAAGTGACCATTCATGTGCCAAGTATTCGTGCAGTGACGCGTTGATGTTGGTGTCCATGCATTCATTCGTGTTTCTTATTTTTCAAGTTTAGTCCACTGCTTATCATGGATCTCCCGTTTCTCCAAGTACAGTAGTTTTGAACTGGTCATTTGTCCTCTGAAAAGATGTTGGTCCCCTGATGTAATTTAAGAGATCTTTGGGAAAGTTGAGATCATCTTGTTTGTTAAACTTGTGAATGTAAGAGGAAGCTCTGTGATATTTTACAGTGATCTCAATCCGGGCTCTTTCCCCGAGGAGAGCATTGAAATTATCAGAACCCCAACCAGACCGTACTCAGAATTTTCTGTTGACTTGCCTTCTGTTTTTCTTTGTTTTTCCGGGGTGTTGAAATTTCTTATTATTAGTACTCTGATGGATTCAATAAAATGTGTGGAATTACTCAAAAATCATTCTCTGAAATATGGGTCAGGTCGATTCCTATCTTGGCTGTAGATCTCAAATTTATTCTTATGGGCGGATGACACTCCGAAAAGCCATGGATTTATGAGTGCCATGAACCTGAACGTATTATTGATCAAACGTTTACTAGAAAATGTTTCCTGCTGGGAATCTAGAGAATCTTTTAAACTGATGCGGTTTTTTGACCTTATTCTGTTCTGTGTCCTGAGAATGCCTGGAAGCAGTGATATTTTATGAATTCCTGCTGGTGACGCTTTGTAATCTTGAAAACGAATCACTGATTTTCTCAGCCTAAAATTTTCAAGTTACCGTAAAATTGAGTTTTTTCTGTCTCTTTTTTTATTGAATGAGTTGAACTATGTACCTCTTTATTATAGAATCACGTTTTTCATTGTTTTGCTCGTTGACTTATTTTCATGACGGTTTGAGTCCTTCTGCGCTTGCTGATACAATTTTCTGGAATTATTTGTGCAAATCATCCTCACCTCAAAAGAAAATCCAGTTCACGAGAGATGAGCTTCTTTGACGATTCTGATCCTAGCTTCTCCTTTTCCCTGGACTCATTAAGATTTTGTTTTTCCTTCCTTCTTGTTTTCGTCGAGCGAATCTTTCTCAGGAAGGGAGGGGGAAACGTCGTGGAAAAATACCCGCACGGTATTTTTAAGAGGTACATCCCGAAGTTCCATCAGTAAAGCTTTGATCCTTTGAGGAATTATTTGAGAAACCCTGATCGTATGCTGAAGTACTTCTAGTAAATTTAACTATTCGGTAAACCGTTGTGATTGTCATCAAAGGAATCTTCATTATTTGTGAAGTCTTGAAAGTGTTGCAAGAAAGTGTCGGGTTATGGGAGAAATTATTGACGAATCCTCCTTGTATGCCCGCATAGTCCCGGTGTGTATAGTATATTCCTTCTTCGCGGATGTCATGAGATGCGGGAAATCTTTCTAGTCGTCTGTGTGAAGGACGTAGTTTGCGGTTTCAATTTGACTGAGAAACAAAATGTCGGTTCCTCATTATATTCCGGCGGAAGAAGTTTAGAGCAGTGAATATCTCCGCTTCTTGGTGATCGGTTTTGATGGAATGATTAAATTTGGTTTCTGAAAGTGTAATGAAATCTGGAATTACTGTTCGCTGAATTAATTGGGCTGCCTGTTTTCAATTCGCGTTCAGGTTTTGACTCTGAAGCACTCCGAGTCAACTTGACTCCGGAAAGTGTTCCTATTCTCCGCCAGGAGCTGAAGTCCACAAAAGCTGAAAAGGATTTTTTTCTTAGCTCCGTTCACATATTTTCGATTGATAAATGCTCAAGTTGCTTTAAAATTTGGAATAATGTTTTTGGATTTGCTCGGGTTATTAACATGTTACTAGCAAAGCATGAGAAAAAGAAAAGATGTTCTTGGGAAATTTCGGGAACGGTTGAGAGATAAAACAAGTAAACAGTACTGGAAATAAATTTATTCAAGATTTCAAGTGTGAAAAAACTGGATTGACTTCGTATCCCGACTCTCTGTGATGAGAATAAAGAAACGATAATTCATGAATGATTTACTAAAATTGATACGAAACAAATAAGAGATCTAAGAAACATATTGAACATTCATCTTTTATTCTCGGAGCGCATTTTTTATTGCCTCACGACTGCGGAAAAATTTGTTGAAATCGGTTTTTGAAAATGTGGAAGAAAGCATCAATTCAAGCGTAAAATTTTTGAAAATCATCCCATGGTACATTACCCTCTTTCCAGGAAATCGAAATCCCCTTGCACTTGACCTAGTTTTCTATGACCAATCAGACAAATTTATTCGTTTTCTTTTGTTTCCTTTCGTGTAGATCAGGTGCAATATAGTCAGGAAAGAGTGACTCTAGACATTTCCAAAGCCGTATGTCCGTATGTGTTCAAATGTCAAGCTGCGATGGTGTCCAGTGAATGAAACGCGCATTTCTGATTTTTGTACCTGATGGAATGAAGTAATAGTATCGTTTTACGAGTGGATGGACCTATTGTCATGGCGTCGGATTCGGAAGATATCGCTCTTGCCCCCTTGAAGTCGGAAGTAGAGGATTCTCCTAAAAAGTATGAAGCCGGCATCGTTCGGGATGAGACTTTTTCCACGTGAGTAAAATTTATTTGTGATTCATTCAAGTAAGTTTTGAAAATGGGTTCTTCGAATTCCTGTGTTTACCTTGTACAGTATAATTGAAAATGCTACTTTATATTGTCACAGGTTGAAAATACTGTGCATGCTATTTTTTTTTCTTTGAAAAATATTGCATTAAATTCATGTTTGTGTCTTTGGCGAACTTATTGATGAAATTCCAGTTTGATTGCAGTTTTAGAATAACTTCGATTTTTTTACCGTAATGTTAATTTCCAACGTGTGTCTTGAACAATTTTAATTTTAAAATCCTAGTGTGATCAGTTCAGAGTACTGTAATGTAAATTTATTCTATCTCAACATCTCTGCACAAAAACCATAGGATCGTTCTGTAGGGAGATTATTTTTATATTATAGTAAAGAAAGTAAATGATCAACCGAGAAAATTTAAATCATCTGGAATTTTTGTTAATATTTTTACTACCCTTCACCTTTAACCGGAGGGAGACTCTGCACGAAATTATGAATCAACCCGTGTAGTTACGCGAATAATACATGGGCTGTTGAGATCAGGGAAATTGACTTGAATCAATTGAAAATTTGCGGATGTGCAATATCTCTTCGCTTTTTTTTTACCCCTATAGGGTGCTTTCGGGTGCCAAGGAAGAAGGGCCGGTGGTTAGTGTCACGGAGGTCGTCAAGAAGGGACGTGCCTTGGTCATTTCTGGTCGGGCATCCTTTCCTGCCACCACTACTGATGCATTGATTGAAAACATAGTCTTGGGGAGAGACATAACTGATTTCGACATGTTTTTCGATGATGACGAATCCGACGATGGCATGCCGCGGGATGTGGACCGGGGCTGGGCGTGGATGGTGTTGTTCGGCGGCTTCCTTGCTTTTAGCGTTCTCTCAGGTCAGTTGGGAATTTCTTATGCAGTATGCCTCTTCTTCGCTCGAATGGAAATTCCAGAGATTTTGTTTTGTTAACCGGATGATGGAAAGATTGCCTAGTCAATTCGAAGTTATTCCCTGATGAAATTCAACAAAAAATAGTCTGCATGAATAACAGAGTGGATTGCAACGTGTGAAATGCAAAAGCATCTTATTCTGGAAATGGAATTAGCTAAACGGAGAAAACTGGAAACTGCTTGAAGATATCTTGATTTTTTATTTGTCTGCCTTATTCGAAAATGTACCTGGTCGAAAATTAAAGAAGAAATGGTCATAAAATCAAAGTAAAGTTTAAATGCAAGGCATGTTCGTTATTTTAATTTTTTCGTTGATTCTTTGATAGTTTGTAACAGAATAAAAAGAAACCTGAGGTGTGGACGCAATTAATTCATCAGGAGTGTCCCAAAGTTAAAATCTCCCTAAGTCTAGTCTTGTTTTCCCCTAGACTTGAATTATGTAATTTTCAATTTGTGTTTTATGGCAGAAATAGTCTTCAGAATTCCATGGAATCAAAGTAGAAAATTGTCTGCCAATTGAAACTGATGCAATCAATATCTTCAAACTCGATAAGAGCATTTGGAGCATTGAATACTGTACCTCTGTATGCAGAACATTCAAGTGTTGGCACTTTCTGTAAAAATAACATCCAAGTCAAAAATAGAGAAGGAATCCCCTTCTATGCTGGAGGTAATTTTTTAAAATCAGCTCAATGGATGGGAAAATCATGAGAGAAATGCAGAATAATTTTTCTTACATTGATCTTGGCGCTGAATGTATGTGTTTCTTGTAAAGTGGACCAATAAAAGTCACTTTTCCTGAACCCTAATTGCAATCTTAGCAGGAAATGTCCACATGTCGAGTCAGTGTCCGTATGTTGAATTGTCTGCATGTCGAATGTGTGGACATGTGGGGTCTCACTGTATGTTAGTTTTCTGTAAATGTTCCAAGTGCTACCCCGACTTCAGCAATTTCTTGCTCATCAATTAACGCTTTTAGTGGAACATTAAAATGGGCATTGTTCTTCTTTTCAGGACTTTTTAATACGATGAGTATCTACTACGTGGTATTTGTCGGCGCCTTTGGGAATTCGAAACCGTACACTGCCTGGGCGAGCTCTTTACACGCCGCCTTCTCTTTCCTTGGTGGACCTTTGAGCTCAATGATGATACTCCGGATCGGGTGTCGCTGGACCATCATGAGTGGTGGTCTGATTGCTGCCCTTGGCTACCTCGGAACTTCTTTAGCTCCTAATCTGGAGACCGTATTCTTCACTTACGGCGTCGTGACTGGTTGGTGGATCTCTATCCATTCTTATCCAGAGAAAGAGAGAGAGAGTAAAATTGAAGCAGGGGTGAGTTTATTTCAATCATTTTTCTGATGGAATCCCCCCCTGTTTTCGGTGCTGGCAGCGTTGGGGTTGAGCTTGAATTTCTCAGGCTGGGTGATTGCACTCGGGACGTACTTCAACAAGAAGCACTCGATTGCGACGGCTTTGGCGATGACTGGGTTTGGTTGCGGTTTGTTCTTTTTGGGGCCAGGTAGATCTTTACCAATTGCTATTCTGATGGAATGCTGAACACACAATTTGTTTGTCCTTGAGTGATGCCCGGCGAACGCAGCAAAAGTGATGCTCAGTTCTTAGGGGAATGGGTCAGAAATGTTTGCTGTTGATACAATTAAGGCTAGAACTGAGTAATGACAGTCTTACGAAGGTCTAACGTCCATGAAATGTAATTAGAAGCGGAAGTGGACTGTCGGATCAGCCTTGAAAAAACTTCTTGAGAAGCCTTATTTTTGTGATCTTGAAAAGAGCGCATTAGTATAAGCCTTTACTATAATCCATTGAAATTTGACGTTTTTTATGTTTAGTTTGTCGTCTTCACGGGGAACATTTTATTTACAAAGCTTTATTGTTCGCTTCTTGGACACGTTTTGGGTGAGGGAGAAAATTTGCACTTGTCGTATACAGTAGTTGTAGGTTTATGACGTGTGCGAGTTGAAAATTGTTGATTTTTTCCTTCAATAATTTTGAATTGAAGCTAAAGTTATTAATGGCTTTTTTAATGCAGGGAAATGGAATCACTGCACAAAAACTCTTTTCTGTTGCGAGATATTCTCTCGACGGCATATTTTTCACGTGCTTTGGTAGTACTTTATCTATGTTTAAAATCTTCTTGGAAAAATTCATGTGTTATTGCTTGAGTACCGTAACCTGGAGAGTTCACCTATTTTTTCGATCATGTTCCAAAAAAAAAGAAATGATGGAAATTGAGCGTTAAAGCTGGAAATCCCGCCGTGAAAGTGTTTTTATTGGTGTGTTTTCGTGCTTTTTCCTAGGGATGGAGGCCAGTGTGAATTACTATGGCTGGCGTGGTTCCATGATCTTGAACGCTGGGATAGCGTTGCAGTTCTGCGTATTCGGTGCTTTAGTGTACCCGATTACCTTCACTGGGTACATGAGTCAAGACGGAGACGACGAAACGTTTGAAAAAAAGTTTTTCAAGGATGAATGGGGCGAAACCCAAAGTCTACCTCCACCGGAATCCGAAAGGCTCTTGGATGAAAAACCGCAACTGCCTGTTGTAGTGAGTGCCTAAGATTCGTTGATGACTTTAAATACGTTTTCAAAATTTAATCAAGACATTTAATCAATTTCTGGCGAATTTAATTCATCGGACCAATTTTTGTTCTAGGAAATATGATGAGCTTTGTTGTTGTTCAAAGACTTCAAACACATACTGACATACTGTATTGATGTCTAATGTACCGTTGAAAGGAAAATAATTTTCCAAAGTTCCTTCTGAGAAAAATGGCCTTCTTAACAAATTAAATTCAAGGTAATGTAACTTTTCTTGTCTCCGAGTGATCGAATGTTGTGCAGTGATCTGCGTTTATTTATTTATTTTTCTTTATTTCATGACTAGAAATAAAAATCTTGGGCCAAGTTTTGAGCTGCTCCATTGTGGGCTAATTCTGGTTCTGTACACCTGTTTGTGAGCGAATAATTCCTTCAAAGTTATTTTTCTATGTGAAGTGTTTTCAAATGTATCGCTTTCAGGAGGAAAGAGAAAGAAAGATCAGCACGCTGGGAGAACTGCGCACTCCACCGGCTGATTTTTGCCGCCCTTTGCACATACACTCCACCGTTTCAATGGACACCGCTCTGAGACGAACTGCCTTCGCATACGTGCCCGGGAAGAGCCACGTGTCGGAATTGGGAAGCAAACGAACCTATTCCTCTGCGAGCATTCGGAGCTTGGGATCCACGGGTTCCATGCATGGTTCCATGCGGGACATGAAATTCTCGCCCGCTGCCGCGTTTTTGTCCCACTCTATTCGGAGTCTGAATGAAATGTCGAGTGGGCAAGGCGGCGGACGGCGGCCTTACATCACCATTGGGTCAGTCACTTTTTGCTTCGCTTTTTTAAAAATTGTGTTCGAGAATTGAAGGCTTTGCGGAGATTTTGTCCCGATTCAAAAGGAAACGAGCTATTCTGATGTTTTATTATCTGCAATAATTGATGACCAAAGGGCTCGATGTGGTTTATGTTGATTTTTACTGCATTCAAATTTTTCCGCGATGCAGGTGTACCTCATGGAATCAGGGAAAGATCCCCAAATAATGTAATGTTCGCTAAGGTAATGTTCTGTACTAAAAATGCGTCATACCTCTTTAAAAAATCCTTCGGGTTCGAATGAATATTATACTCTGAAGAATATTTGTGTAGAAGGAATTGTAGCGTGAGTTTGCATGTACATTATTCACTGTTAGCAAGCATCGAAATCATAATTAAATCATCGATTCACCTTGTACCTTCGTATTTCGGAACTGAAGATCTTGCGTAGTTTTTGTCTCAAATGTAGATTGAACGATGGCTTTTTCAAACTTTTTGGGAGACTGTGGCCAATTTTACTCAAGTGGCGTAAAAGTTCATTTATACACATCATCCACAACAATACTTTATATACTGAGAATAGAAGTAAAAAGGCTGTTTTGGGTATTTTTTTCAAGAAATAAATTAAATTACTGACGCGTTTACGTTTATTGAAATGAGAGCAAGCACCACTTATGCTACGTGTTGTTATCTCTGAGAAAACTTACGTACGGATGGTTTCCCCGTCTTGAATGTAATGATCGCAAAAATCTATATTTAGAGTTCACTTTTAACTGACCGAGTTTGTTTTCTTGGATATATTGTGATATCTGGTGCTGTTTTATGTCTTTATTTTTCCTGAAGGGTTCGGGAAGGTTCGAGCAACAGTTCCCTGCCATTCCTCAGCCGGTCTCGAGAAAGCGTGAAAAGTCTGGAAGATTTCCGGGTTCGCAGCTCGAGTTTCCGCGAGGAATCCGAGCGGGTTCGCACCCGAACGCAGGTTTACAGGAAACCGCAACCCGTGGAAGAAGTTGAAAACGTTGCTGAAGACCTGGTCAAGTCCTTGAATGCCCCGGAAGTTGTTTCTTTCAAGCCCAGGAAACCCGAGAAAGTTGGCAAAGGCAAGAAACACAAACATGCGGTTGTTGAGGCGCCGGCGGTGAAGGAAGACGCTGCGGTTCAGAAAGTGGCGGAGAAGGAACCGGAACCCGTGGCGGAAGCGGAAACCGTGGTCGAAGCTGAGGAGAAGAAAGAAGAACCTGCAGTTTCGAAATCTCCTGAGAAGGTACAGTATCGGCTCGATTTTCCTACCATACCTGTGCATATCATCAAGCTACAATGTTTCACATTTTTATATGATTGCCGTCAGTTCTATCTTCGAAAGAATCATATTTTTAAATATTAGAATTGGTAGTGCAGTACTGAGCTGACGGTTTCTGAGGTTTTGTTATCGTTTTTAAAAATCAATTATTGTGCAATTATTTTTGGGAGCAACAAATTTCCACATGCAGTGCTTTTTTTATGTGATTTTTTTCTGTAGGAAGGAATTCATCTCTAAATGAATGTTTACCGTGCCCTAATTGTAAAAATACTGTGTATATATGCAGTATGTATATATGAACATATTGAGCGTACGAGGGTTCTAACAAAAGTTCTCGGAGTAGCCATGAAAATGGCATACAATTGAGCTGAAAAAAATTTATTCTCTAGCGAGAACATATTCTTTGGCACGCAAAAAAAATCAGCCTGATTTGACAATTTTTTTGCAAAATTCATCCATATAGAGTTTTGCTCTCCACTCAAAAAATGAGGCGCCCTTTTTTTGTTGTAGCCCATCTTTCCCCTCAGAATTTTTGAAATCAATTCGACATTCTTTCTAAGGGTTGCCTCCAGGTCATCCAAGGCAATTCCGTCATTTTAATTGACAGCCGCCTTCACAGCCGCCACATTGGCCGCCATTTTGGTGGCTTTGAAGGCGGCTTCTGATGAAAATGGCGGAATTGCCTTGGATGACCTGGAGGCAACCCTTAGAAAGAATGTCGAGTTGATTTCAAAAATTCTGAGGGGAAAGCTGGGCTGCAACAAAAAAAGGGCGCCTCATTTTTTGAGCGGAGAGCAAAACTCTATATGGATGAATTTTGCAAAAATATTAAAAAAAAATTGTCAAACCAGGCTGATTTTTTTTTGTGTACCAAAGAATATGTTCTCGCTAGAGAATAAATTTTTTTCAGCTCAATCGTATGCCATTTTCATGGATACTCCGAGATTTTTTGTTAGAACCCTCGTATATATTTAAAGAATAAAAATTAAGTAAGATAATAAATTATTGAAGAATAATTGCCAAATCTGTTTTTCCTTCTGCTCTTCGCGATTATTCAACTCATGAGGCTATAAACATCAGTATACAGTATTACCATTATTTTATTCACGAAAAGCTCATATTTTTGGAAACACAATTAGTATTTCCTTGATTTTCTGACTTTCTTTTTGTTTGTTTGTAGAAAAATGAGCCGGACGAAGTAGAAATCGTGGAAGACGAAGAAGAGGAAGACGACGACGATGACGAGTCGGCGGAAGTGTGGAAACTCAAAGCCGCCATGAAGAAGGCTGGCCAGCGAGCAGTGCCGCCTAAAGCCAGCTTTTTCCGGTTCCTGTATCCGCAAGACGAGAACCCACGAACCATCTCCAACATTGAGGAAGTGGACGAAAGTTCCGCCGGAAGCATCCTCTCTCTAAATGCCATTTTCCGCCGCAAGAGTCGGGAAGTGCTTTCCCGATTGTCGTCGGATACGGATTTGCGGAGCAAGGATGCCCAGACCCCGGCCCACTTGCCCGGGATCAAGGAAGAGAAACCCGCGCTAGGGGCCATCTTGGAAGAAGAGGAAAAGAAGAAGAAGAGTAAGGAAAGCGAGGAGAAGGAGAAAGCCGCCGAGCCGGTTGGAGAAGAAGAAGACGATGATGAAGTGTTGGCAGTGGTGGAGGGCAGCGAGAAGGTGTCTTCGGAGCTTCTGGCCCTCGGTGGACGTAATGCGCAGGTGTGTCCCTGACTACGTAAAACTTTTGAGGAGCTACCGCTGTTTCTGTGTGTTCAACTTGGGTTCAGTTAAGTTGAGCTACTTTGGGGTGAATTTGATATATTTTTCACTGTCAGTAGGACCATGTAAATTACAGGGTGATCGACTTCACTAATCTCCTTCACTCATACTCAGGAATAAAATTGAATAGAGCACATTGAAGAAAACCACACCATTTAATTTGAATTAATGAGTGAGACTAGGTATTCGCAAGTATAGTCCGTCAACTTTTGGAAGTCCAGAACAACATGAAGGTTAATTTTCATGTAATGCAATTTGCTCATCCTCGAGATGGAAATTTATTTGCCTGTTTTCCATAGTGTTTGAATTTCACCAATGAATTTTCTTTTGAGGTGGATGAGTAAAACTTGAGGGAAAAATGTTTTCGCGTTCTCCCTATATGTTGACGAAAAATATTCCTCAAAGTTATTGATTATCTCATCAAAAATGTCATGTGTTCACGATGAAAAAATCATTTTTGAATGAAGGAACTTTTTACCTCCTGTATTCTTGATGTAATTCCAATTCGGGAATTCATGTTGCGTCTTATTTGATGATAAACAGAGCGATAAACAGCAAGAAGACGTTCCTGGGGAGATTTGCCAAATGCAAGGCGATTGGAAGTCTCATTTGAAAGCCCTTTGGCACGGCGAAGACGGCGGAGATTTGCCGCTGTTTCAGGACCCGCGTTTCTGGTGCTTCAACTACTCTGGCCTAGTTTGGATCATGGGCACGCTCACTCTGTATGTTCTTTACAAGGACTTCGCTCTAAAGAAGGGAATTGTGGAACGTTTCATCTATGCCCTGTCCGGACTCGGTCTCGGCGATCTCATCGGTCGCCTCTTTTCTGGAACATTCGTGTCATGGAGCTGCGTCAATTCCGTCCTTGTGTATGCTCTGGTGCAGGTAAAAAAAAAAAATCAATTTCTCAACAGAACCATCTTGGAATTGCATGAGTTGAATTGACGATTTTTTTTTCCCACATTCCTTGGATCTTGGTCGGAATATCGGTTTTATCAAAATAAACGTACCGCATTTACTAGAGTACCACGTGCCCTCGCGTAAGACGCGCACAAGATTTTTTTCAGTCAACATTTTGTATGAAATGTTGGCCCCGAGTAAGTCGCGTGCCCCGTTCTTAGTGACTCTAGAAGTAAAATATTTCGAAAAGTAAAACTACCCAAAATTGATTTCAGACATGAATTGATCCTGAAATCAACGAATTTTTAATTATCTCCGTTAGATAATATTTTGTTTCCCTTTTGAAACGTTTTCCCGTTACAATCGAATACATTTAATGCAAACCTGAACATTTCAAATTTTTCGAAAAAATTATATTCGCCGACGCGAACCTCTTTTTCCCCTTCTCCATTTTGAGGAAAACGGTGCGTGTGGTACTCGAGTGAATACAGGTATACTGTATTAATAAACATGGATAAAAATGTGTCTCATTGTAACTCATTTTGAATTCTATCGGATTGATTTGTTGAAACTAGGTATTACTCTTCTAATATTAATTTTTTAAACCTGGTAGAAAGATTCTCTTGAATTTTTCATGGATAATTGAAAATATCACTGGTAAATTTTCATGTTTCAGCTGGCGTGTGGTATAATAATTTTGTACCACATTACAATCACGAATTCGGAAGAATTCATAATTTTGTGCGTGTGTCTGGGCATTTGTTATGGCACGCAAAATGTCCTTCTTGCTGTCGCACCTGCGGAAGTTTACGGCTCATCGCACTTGACTGTGGTGTTCGGTTACATCTTGTTCTTCTGTGGAATCGGTGCCATTCTTGGACCTCCTATTGCCAGTGAGTTTTGTGGTACAGGATTTATTTCTTGTTCCTGTTAATGATTTTGTCTGACGTTTTTAGGTTTGCTGCTACAACACTACAACGACTACTTTCCGGTTTTCATTTTTGCTGGAACGGCTACGTTGACTGGAGGACTTGTGTCTCTGATATGTTTCTACATAGACTGGAGATGGAGAAAGGAGAAGATGCTGAAAAGGGAGCAGCTGAAGCATCGGGATGAAGAGGCGATAATGGAAACTCAAAACTAGGGAGGTATAGTTTACTTTTTTTTTTAAAGGTGTCATCTTCAACTATTGCGAGGTGTTCAATTTTGTTCAAAGGCATTTTTGTGTTACGAACCCCCTGTGCTTTTTTTGTTTTTGATTGAGTGAGTATGAGTTGTGAAAAAGAGGAAGAATCAAACCCTGAATATCATTCTTGAGCATTCAACCAAAACGTGCAACTTCTTTCCATGCTTTATGAGAAGAAACTTGAGAACTCGAGGCTCTGTGAACAGGCGTGCACTTGGCATTATTTTTTGTGTTCATGGAGCCACGGCAAACATTTTCGCACTTTCTTGTACTATACACATTGCTATTTTATTATAGAAACGCAGCGATTCCATGTTCGAATGGGAGGATTTTGATGCTGTGTGAATTGTTTATGTTGGTCCAGCTGTGGTTTTTGCTGAGTTATTGCACATTCTGTAATGTGAACAGCGCTTTTAGCTCAGAAACTGTTCCCTTTTTATTGGATTGTGCTGGATATTTATGCCGTGGTTTTGACTTGGAGTTAATAAAGTTGGAACTAATAAAGTGTGTTTGATTATCAATTCTGAAGAGCTGGCTGCTGGAGACACGAAGTATATACACTGCTATATGCTGTGTACAGTGTTTGTTGTCTTGTTTCTATTGCAAAATTGAATTATCGTACCAAAAAAGTGTATTAATTGAATGAAGAACAAGAGAGGGAAATGAACTGCCTATACATGCTACATACTTTCTTTAAAAAGACAACTTGATAAATCAGACTTGCACTTCGACTTGAGAAAGTGCTCTCGAAACTACTGTAGTTGAAATCTGTGGAGGATTTATACTAATTTGTGGAGTAGTGTTTGTTTCTGTATTTCCACCACTGTAATTTCAATTTGTCACATCCGCTTGAATTTTAGTGGATCTAGCAATGTCGTGACCAAATCTTAGAAACAAATCATTGCTTACAATTCGAACAAATCTGTTTTTTACAAACCCAGAACCACTGTACAGTACTGTATTGAGGCCGTACACACACGAAGAAAAATATTTGTTACATAATGATTCCATTTTCTAGGGTATGAACGTAATTGACTTATCACTGAAGAATCTCAATTTTCTAGTACTGTCTAGCAAAATACAGTACAGTATAGCGATTTGGGCAAGCCACTGTTAAGTCTTCATTATGTACGCCCTCAAGTCCCATTATTGAAATCACCTGGGCCCTGCATGATGCGTTCAATTATGGCAACGCCTCCCTGCTCCAGCTAGGGAGCAGCCACGTGATGTTGCTACCCTGTGTGTCTGTGCTCCGTAATTTTAAAAGTCTTTCCCGATCGTAGGGAGTGAAATGTTTGGTTTGCTTTTACGATTTTAAATGCTGCGTATACGGAGAGTGATTGGCGAAATAAAGCGGTTCTAGAGTTACCTGCGTAATTGTAGAGTGTGTCAAGCATGTATTCCTTTTCTTGCAGGACAAAGCGATTGCTCGTTTAAACGCTTATATCAGTACAGTGTAAAAGACAAGCCTTGGTGCATTCCCGAATCACCAGAGTATTTTTCCACTCCCTGGGCATTCGATACTCTTCTGCCAGTTCTTCTACGATGGATAGTGATCAAAGCTACGGTTTTCCGCATTTTCATGATGGCAGTGAAGAAATTATCCTCCAAGAAGAAATCGTCGGTGAAGACGGAACTATTTACGACGAGATCCCCATGTCTGACTCCAATGCCATGAAAATTGCGGAGAACATAGTGCCTTTGTTGAATGATCACACCATGAAGAAAGCAACGAAGCGTCCCGCGAATCGTCGCCCGAAGCCCGCGAGACAAGAAGACGATACGAACACTCGAAAATGGGCGCAGAAACAAGTTCAGATTAAGACCATGCAAGGGGAATTCTCAGTAACAATGTGGTCTTCGGGTCCGGATGGCGATCAGGAATCGGACGATGGTACTTTTCTTCTGTGTGAAAATTGCTGCATAGTTCCTAAACCGATGCATATGTGTTTTTCAGACGTTGACAAAAAAGGGGACATAATACCTGTGGAAGAACTGCACGAGGATCATCATGGCATTGGGATGGACCCAACTGAAGAAGTGGAATACATGAACGATTACATGGTTGAGCATAAAATTCCGCTGGATGGCATTCCGGGTATTGATCTCACGGACCCGAAACAAGTTGCTGAAATCGCCAAGCATGCGTATGCTTTCGGTTATTCTCTTGAAGTGAATGTTCGCATTAATTTCTTCCTTATTCGCAGAATACGTCCAAAGAAATCCATGCAAGAAGACTTGACGAGAACCATTGCATGTCCACACAAGGTGATTTTTTATGACTCTATCAGTGCTTTTCTTTCCTCTGTTTTCGTGTGTTTTTTATGGAAGTGGGTCGAGAATTCAGAATTTCTCTCATTTTGATTTATGCGTAATGAATCCAAGTTACGTTCAGTACCGAAGTACAGAAGCTACCATTTCAAATCACTGTTGAGAAAATAAGATGCGTAGAATTACTCGGATGAAAAACTTATTCGCGTAATAATAATGATACGATCATTCCTGTCGTAAAAATCTTAGTTTCAATCCACTTTCAAAATGATGCTGCGCCAACGAAAACAATTGTGAAGTCCCAAAAGCGACCAAAAGAAGATCTCGTGGACTAATTCGTCGCTCTGTATTTATTTGCTGCATGTTTACTTTTCCCCGGTCACCGTTGATTGATATCCTGCTTCAGTGATGATTCATGTGGGAATTTGCATATTTTTGTCGCAGGATTGTCGGAAAATGTTCAGAGATAGTTCGGCGATGCGTAAGCACCTTCACACCCACGGGCCACGCGTCCATGTTTGCGCTGAGTGTGGAAAAGCGTTTGTTGAGAGTTCTAAATTGAAGAGACATCAACTTGTTCACACTGGAGAAAAGCCTTTTATGGTGAGTTCTGCATTCTCTATCGAAGAAGTGAAAACTAACTGTGATATTTGTATTTCAGTGCACCTTCGAGGGATGCGGAAAAAGATTCTCTTTGGATTTTAATTTGAGAACGCATGTGAGGATCCATACGGGTGATAGGCCATACGTTTGTCCCTTTGAGGGGTGCTCCAAAAAATTCGCTCAATCAACGAATCTCAAGTCCCACATTCTTACTCATGCGAAACAAAGGTGATTATTTAACTTATATACTGTATACGTAGGTAGGCTTGAACCGGCAAGACTTTTGAATGTATACTCAGCTCCTGTAGAGTGAAGTTTTCTGTTTTGGAATCCATGTTTTCGATCCTGTCCATCTTAGCGTCGAAACTCATTCAAGTTCCTAATGTCTCTGTTTTAGCGTGTGAGAAATTCAGAAGTGACGGTTTAAGAAATCTTTTGAAATCCGAGTGCAACTGTGACTGTAAGCTTTATTGAAATGTAACAGGACTCTATTTGAAACCAATCTAGAGGTTGACCGACTACATTTCCTAGCTTCTGGATAACTCTGATGTCATGCGTAGTGAACTTTTTTTTAATGCAATTGTTTTTGGCGGAAAGGTCCGACAAATTCTAGGAATTCTTCGTTGCGCTTTTGGCGTCTTTGTTGAGAAGGAAAGATGTGCATTGAATGAAAACATCGGGTTTCTTCTAACATCGCGTGAAGTATTGAAACTTTGAAAGTTCATGAAGCTGGTTCTTTCGTGTTTTTACATTCAGGCTGAGCTAAAACTGTTCTTTGCTTGTACAAATTTCGGAACAGCGATCGTGACAGAGTCCGGTTGAAAAGTGTGATTAATATTGTTTTCATCGACATTTTCGGACAGATGCTTCCGACAACTACTGTAATATGATGGGATAGATTTACTGAAAACGTGTTCTTCTACTCACCCACAGAAACCGTCAGCAAATACAACTGCAGCAACACCAACAACAACTAGCCTTCCAGCAGCTGGAGGAGTTGCAAAAGCAGCAGTACGGGGAAGAAGGAGAAAGTCCATTCTCAAATGCTCAGCTGATGCACATTGACATGAATCCTGACCAACCGTTTCTCGTGTACGCTGAATGAACGCCCAAGGGGATTATTTTGTACATACTTTTGTGAAGTTTGGTCCGTGTCTTATGAGTAAGTCCTCTTTCAGCGTTTACGGATTGCTTTAAAGGCGATATTTGAATTGAAAGTATAAAAAAGGTCTTCTAAATTAGTCAGATCACCTTGAGGAATCCTTTCTGTAGAGCCGTTATTTCGTATACTGAAGTCTTCAATTTTTTGCTTTCAATTATTAATACAGTACATGGGGATATCCGAAAGTTAGAGGGAACTTACAGAAGAAGAAAATCCTCTAAAAAAAAGTTAGTACGTTACACTTCTTGAAATAGTTGCCAATTTTGACATATCATTAGCTAATGGATCCATTGCTGAAGGTTACTATTTTTTTTTGCATTTTCATTTTTGAAAAGCTATTTTGGGCATTTTGGAGATAATACGATGAGTTTTCATGACTTTCAAATTATGTTTTAACTTTTAAGGAACCTTGTAGCATGCGATTCTCCATTCTTGCCTTTTTACAGGATTCTAAGTTGTTTTTTACCGCCATTTATTTGGTCCTTTTGTCAGGACAAATTTTGTTTATGTTGCTGTTGGGACATTCTAATGATTCTATGATACATTTTTGAAGAATCAGAAACTTTTCCTTATGCTGCGAGAAAGTATTCAAACTTGTTGGCGAATTAGGTTTTAAATCGCTGCAATCTCTTTTGTAAATGTCTCTTCCGAGTTGCATTTATTTTTCGTCACTGCTCTCAGAAATTATATTACTAGGAAAAAATCTTAGGTTGGAGAAGCTGTAAAATATGACAGGCTTGATGGCTAATTAATTTGAGAAATGTTGATTCCTTGCGATGAAATATTTTTCTGGGCGGGTGTTGTAAATCTTGCTATGATTTGTAGTCTCTTAACTTTTGGATCTCCCCAAGTATGTGTTGCCGGATCTTATCGATTATATGTTTCGAACGCTGAAAGTGAGCATACTCAAGCGTGCATTCCTCAGGGAAGGAAGGGGAAGGCAATCCGCTTCCATGTATTTTGTTTTCTACCGCATTTTGAAACAAGTGTTCAATCCTTGTTGTATAACCCTATGTACGCGAAATTTGGCTTTATATATTTTAAAAAACTGGATGAATCCAAGGTATGTGGAGGACCAATGAGCGACTGGACAGGTATTTTTTGCGGGGACGTGTACTAATAATCCATCCTGAAAATCATCTTGGGTCGCGATTGATGTGGAGTCTTTTTTTTGTACGGAGTGAGTGCTTTTTTTGCTGGAACTTGGTTTGGCATATTGTCTTAACCAAGTGCTCGAGTGCGTGGTTTTCAGCCGGACGGTTTTTGATACCGGGTGCTTGTGGTTGTGTGGGCTTCTTCGGCCGCGAGATTTTGCTTGTTCAGTGGAAGTGCACTTTTTTTTGGAGAGGCGATGAAGATTTTTCGACGAATGAATCTTCACATTTTCGATACCACCGATATTATTTTCATGTTTCCTAACGAATTCACGCGAATATAAGACGCCATTACCTCGAGAAATGATTTATAATTTTTAGATGCGTTGGCTTTCACTTTACATTGTGCAAGAAACTTTATTATGCATGGTGAATCGAAAAGTTCAAGCATTTCTTCAACGCGATATCTCGAACAAAATGAATTTCTACGATTTTTGCAGAAAAAGGATTATTTGAATTATCCTTAACACGAGATTAACCTTATACAGTATTTAATATTATAACTACCATGAGTAAAATAAGATACACTATCGAGATAATTGTTGCGGAATCCTCAGATTTGCTCTTTGAAAATTTAATTACCTGCATTCAATTCAGAATATGACTTGAACTTTTTTTTATTGATCCATAGATTATCAGTAAGTTTATGAGACATTTAAATGTTCGCAAAATTATTAAATTATATTTGATGAAACGTTTTGTTTATGATTCAATAACTTCTGATCTTGTGTTTTGAAGTTTGAAGGAAATACGCTTCTTATACTCGCGTGACTACGGAAAGCGATTTTGTTGTTGTTGCTTGGATGTTGTAATTTTCTTTCCCTTTTCGAACGCTTCGTGTTTTTCTGCAGGCTCTTAAAAATTGAATATGACGGGTAAAGGAATGCCGAGTGCGGGTTACAAATGGTTGAAGTTGCCACCTGTGAAATTCAAGAATGGATTCGTGCTTTTCAAGAATGGTCGGCAACCTGGGAAAGAACCGGTTCAGTACAGGCTTCGATTCTTGCCGTACTTGAGCGACACGGTTTCCAGCAAGGGGGAAAAGAATTCAGGTAACTGCTCATGTTACCTGTGATGACAGCAGGTTTCACTCCAAGAAACGCTATGCTTAATTTACTTGTGAACGTCACATGATATTTTGACTGCCAGCGACACCTATTCGCGTGCATTCACTTGACTATGGATTGATGGGCAATGTAGCGAGATATATTTTTCAGATTTAACGAAGTTACGACAGTAATGGAACTAGGGATGTCTGAAACTTCGTACCGTACACGTTTTCGTTTAGTATCTGGGTCATATTTTGCGGTTAAACAGTTTGTAGTTTGAGTTCTTGCTGTATTTTCATTGTTGAATGAAGGTTGATGATAGAATTTGCTGAAATTGAAAGCTCTGTATTTTTTTAGACGTTTTTTGCATACAAGAAATGGCAGTGATGCTGTCGTGTTTCAAAAAGCACGACTTTGCGGATGAAATGTGTTCCAAGGAAATTTCTGGCTTCAGAAAGTGCTTCGACGATTCTCTAGTGAGTTTTGTTGATGATTCCGCTGAACTCTTGAGTTCACGAAGTTTTTTTTTTTCATATCCGATGATGAACGCTAATTTTTTTTGTAGAAAGAATTCAAGAGAAAGGAAGCGTTGAAGGAGAGTGGGAAACTTGTGGAGGATTCAAGAAAGCAATATCCAGCTGGGGCATTGAACAATTTCTTGAAGCAGTTCCCTACACAAAAGTTTTCATAGTGATCTTCAAAATGCGCGCGTTTCTTGCAGTTGTTCTTTTGAAATGTTAGTCATTGTCTGGCAATGAAGCTGTTGCTGAATGTTGCAAAACCCGAGTTTTATTTCCGTCGTGAGTTGATAAAAATATTATGGAATAATATTGCGCATTGTGATCTTCAGTAGTTTTTTTTTTTTTTCTATTTCAGATAATGACTGGAATGGTGTTATTGGCTGTTCGGGAAGAAAACTTGATGAAACTTGCTGATAAGTATGTAGTATTTTATTTTTGTAGTATGTAGTATCAATGAAGCTAGTCAATAAGAGTATTCAATAATCCATGCTCAACTCAGAAAATTTCCTTGAAGTTGGAGAATACTGTATATGGATGATAGAGGCTGGACAAACAAGCAATGTTTAGTATTCTAAAATTTCTCAACAGTGAATGGTAATTTTCTCAAATGATTTATAAGTGCAGTATGTGTACCATGGTCTTGCCTACAACAATTTTCTCTGTTAGATGTGGATTTTTGGTTCTATAGAGTTATTTCCCTATGTTAGGGTATATTTACAGTTTCCATGCAACAAAATTCTATTTACCATGATTTTTTTCTGGTTCCTTGAACTTTCTTGTAGACTGAGTCCACTTGCATACAGTTGAACCTCTCATTTATGTCAAAAATTCTGCAATTGTAGTTGCCCCCTTACAAATTATTTTTTAATCCTCTCTGGTGCCAATCTTTTTGAATCAAAGGTTTCTGTTGTCAAACTTCTAAATCCTTATTTGAACTCCAGATTGTCTAGAAAGTTGGACTACACTTTTTTAACACATATTCTGGAAAAATGAATGACCGGAGAGTGAAGCTGAATTCAATAAGTCAAGAGCTCCCTTATCTCAATTTTTGAGTCCCTTCGAATACGACTTAAAAAAGGTTCACAGCTTGTGTGTGAATTGCTAGTTTCTGGTGAACCTATGACCAGTGTTATACATGCTTACTGAAAGTCACTCGACTGACAACTATTGCACTTCAGAATTAGTTAGTCTTAGTAATTTTTATTCACCATTTTTCCTTTCAGGTGGGGTTATGAATTTGTAAAAGAATACTGTAATGTACAGCCGGGGAAGTGGGTGTGTATTTACTATAGTCTGATCACTCTGATGGATGAATATAAAGGGGTCTTTCAAACTGAGGCCTGGTTATGACCGTTCGCGCGGACATGCCAGAGAAACTTGCCTTGTCCGGGTGGGGTATGTTGCACGGGGTTTACCTGAAATGTTTCCCATTGTGTTTCCATTCTGCTCGCGTTTCGGGGCTCAATTAGAGCCTATAAATGCAATCAATTCTGTGAACGACTGGGAGTGTCGAAAATTATGGAATGTCCTTGAAGAAACGTCGCGTACCGTATTTGCTCGCGTAGAATGAGAACCGTGCATTGATTAATCCGATGAATTCTGCGCATCACTGAATTATCTGGTGTGGATGTTGTTTTATTCAGGAATCAGTGCGCTTCGGGTTGGGGAAATTCGACAATGTCCGGATTTAGCGATGATTTATTTGACTTTTGTGATGACGATGCCATGCGTCCTAGTGCTTTCGACAACAAGACCAGTGAGGACGTGAAAGGATCGTCTAAAAGGTTGTGCCAGTGATCGCCAGTACTTCTGCCTGTGGGTAATTCTTTTGATTTACAGTCTCGGAGATGTTCTGCGAGAGATCACCGACAAGACGGACGAACCTATCGTACCCGTGCCTCCTAAACGTCAGAAGCTTGAGGAACAGGCAAAATTTGAGTGAGTTCTATTAATTTTTACATTTACCTGAAAATGAAATACTGGCAAGTTTATCGCAGATATTGTTCAGAAAAATTATTGTCTGATGACAGATTCGTGGTTTAAAGTTCATGATTGCATCTGACGCGCTCCATTTTTTGTGCTGGTAAGTTATGTATCTGTCAACTAATCTTCACTTTCGAGCGCGAGAGTTGGAATACTGAATTTATGTTGAAAGATATTGATGAGATGAAGACACTGTAATATCTGAAGCACGAGTGGATTCGAAGATCCTCTTGATGCCGGGTGAACTGACAGAGAAGTGCGTTGTGTAGTTGGAGGCAAAGATGTTTTCGATATTTAGCAACCCTGAATGGAGGGAACTTCTCTCAACGTACGGCTTATAAATTTCTGTAAATTTTAATGGTGCATTTTGTCTTCAGTGTACATTGAAACCCTGCCGTTTTTCTAGTTGGTCGCTCTTCAAGGATCGGATACAGGTTCACGAGATCGAATGTCCCGAAGGAATGCAGCATGAAGCCGTTTATCCGCCTGCCATGAAATTCAAGTCTTTAGTGCCTCCTACAGTTCGAGCACGGGAATACAAATTCAAACTAGATCCATTCCAAAATCGGGCGATCATGTGCATTGACAATTTGCAGAGCGTGTTGGTTTCTGCACACACTTCTGCCGGAAAAACTGTTGTCGCTGAGTGAGTTCCTCGTGTTGTCGGAGTTCTTCTCGGAGTGTTACAGTATTTGTTGAAACGTTGTTATATTTAGGTATGCGATCGCTCTTGGGTTGAAGAAGAATCAGCGAGTTTTGTACACTACTCCGATAAAGGCTTTGAGTAACCAAAAATTTCGCGAGTTCACCGAGGAATTCAGCGACGTCGGGCTTATGACTGGAGATGTGACGATAAATCCGAATGCCAGCTGTCTCATCATGACCACTGAGGTGTGTTCCGGTTTTATTTTCACGTGATTTCGTGTTGATATTGGTGTAACTTTTGTTCATTGACGCCAGAAATTTGTGTTGAACACGAAATTCTTTCTTGAGAACTTTCCGAGTTCTTTGAGAATATTTGTGATTTCAGAATCTGAACTCTTTATTCTGCCAATTGTTCTTGATGATTTGTATCCACCTTGAAAAAGTAATTATTTCTGAAGAGCTGTATATTTTTAAGCCTAAAGGGTTTCTGAAATATTTGTGTCGTATTCGAAGTTAGTCGAATGATTTTTCCTCAAGTGATTCGTGATTCAATTTATACAGCATTGTCTGCTTTTGAGGGAATTGAGGTTCTTTCAGACTTCGCTCGGTACCACCGAAGTGTATGAAATTTTTTTTAATTCACATGCGATGTACGACTTTCCAGATTTTGCGGAGCATGCTTTACCGTGGATCAGAAATTCTGCGAGAAGTTGGCTGGGTGATATTTGACGAAATTCACTACATGAGAAACAAAGAGAGGGGTTACGTGTGGGAAGAAACCATTATTCTCCTTCAAGATGAAATCCGCATGGTTTTCCTTTCGGCGACTGTTCCGAATGCGAGACAGTTCGCCGAGTGGGTCGTCAGTTTACACAATCAGCCTGTTCACGTTGTGTATACCGAATATCGTCCCGTACCATTGCAACATTATGTCTTTCCGTATGGCGGCAGAGGACTATTCCTTGTGGTGGATGAAAAAGTGAGCCATTTTATTCTTCTTTTTTTTTCTGAAGTGTTCAAGAAGTTTTTGTCAGTGGAGTAGTCTGTGTGCTGAATTATGTGCTTCGTGATTCCTTGATGATAGAACTCATAGAAGTTATGTGAAATCAGTGTCGCGATGCAGTAGAAGATATTGATGGAGTTCTCATCATCTTTTTATCGTGCTTATCGCAATTAAAAGCTGCTCAATGGGAGATATCATGGCTGTGTCGTGGAACACGACACAGCAGTCATTAATTTTGCCATTACAAGTTTTATCTGCTTCTGGATTCCAACTGAGTAAAACGAAGCATGGCTAAGTGGAGAACAAGATTTCATTTCGCTTGAGTGAAATTACCTGCTCGTATTATTCTTAGGAAGAGGAAACGAAGGGTTAAACTTCTTTTTTTATATTTCCCAAAACCGAATGGAATTCTTTGTGCTATTTCTCATTCATGTACTGGAATAACTCTACTGAAAAATAATTTCGCGATAACATAACCCGAAATTGAAATGTTACAGTGACATCTACGTACTGTGGAACAAAGTTTCTTGATAAGGGACGCGGTAGCAAAATTCAGCAAATAGTTCATGTATGTTCCACTGTACGTAACTGCTTCGCTGGGTTTTTGTCAGAAAGTGGTAATCACTGTTCATCACAATTTTCAGAATCGGTTTGACGAGAAACGTTTTGCTGAAGCTATGGCAGAATTACGACCAGATGGTGACAACGAAGTCAGCGCCAAGAAAACTGTGAAATCAAAGAATAAGGACGTGATGGAGATCAACAGGCTGTTGCAAATGGTCATGGAACACGACTTGGCTCCCGTCATAGTCTTCAGTTTTGCGAAAAGAGACTGCGAATTGTACGCCCTGAAAGCTGCCGAGTACGATTTCAACACAGGCGAGTCCAGTTCTATGCTAGATCCTATGCTGGATTTTTGGCGCTTCAAGGCTCCCATCAAAAGGGTTTTCTTCTTAGTAATTTCTAAAAAGCTTCAATATTTGACTCGGCATTGTTGTCATTTTTTTTCTCAGAAAAGGAAAAGGAGTTGGTAAAGCAGATTTACAAAAGCGCCATGGAAGTGCTTAGTGAGGAAGATCGAAAACTGAAACAAGTGAAGGAATTCTTGCCGGCTTTGGTGAAAGGCGTAGGTGTTCATCACGGAGGTAAAATGAAATAAGGATCCTCTGATTTTTTTCATGATCATGAGAAAAATCCTGTCATCTTTTCCAGGTTTGCTGCCAATCCTGAAAGAAACAATTGAAATTTTGTTCGGTGAAGGCCTCATCAAAGTCTTGTTTGCCACCGAAACATTTGCAATGGGATTGAACATGCCTGCGCGAACGGTTGTTTTCACAAGCGCCCGGAAGTTTGATGGTCACGAGCAACGATGGGTAAATAACAATATAATGACGGAAAAAATTGAAGAATCTGTTCTGTTTTCTTGAAAAGAATGAAACGTAATCGTATTTGTATAAAATGCAGCTTTTGCTCTCCATTAAATAAAGAAATGGAAGGTCTACTCTGTCCTACTCTTCTAGGGAAAGTTTAATTGATTGTTGATTTTCTTCGGGAAACGACTGCAGACAGAAAAAAACCCAGTTTTTTGTCAATTTTACTCGTGAGCATGAAACGAAGAATGATTGATCATCTAGGAAAGGCTCCGTTTGGTAAAGATTTTCAAAAGCTGTGGGTTTGGTTACGTTATTTACGAGTTTAATCGGGTTGTTAGATCTGAGTGAAGTCGGATTACATTGAGCCTATGTTCGGTTGAATTACTTTTTCTCTGACTTAGTTTATATCGAAGTTGAGTTATCTTTGGTTGATTTTAGTGAAATTGGCCAGTTGAAAAAGGCAGTTGACAACCTACCTAAACTTTGAATCGAATCACTGATAGATGTGAAAACATTTCCCGTGCCTCGTGTTCCAGCTTCACGGTGCCGAGTACATTCAGATGTCTGGCCGAGCTGGTCGTCGAGGAAAGGACGACAAAGGCGTCGTAATTCTCTCAGTGGACGAGAAAATGGATGCCGCAGTGGGTCGTAATTTAGTGCAAGGGAATCCGGAACAGCTCACTTCTGCTTTCCAATTGACGTACAACATGGTATTGAACTTATTACGGGTCGATGGGATCAATCCGGAGTTCATGCTTCAACGGAGCTTTCATCAGTTCCAGTCGTATGCGATGATTCCCCAGGTTTTGGCTGGTAAGTTAATTTTATGTCTTTTTGAAATTATTTCTCATCTTTGGCCAGGATGAATTTTTTTTACTGTTGGGTCCGGTGTGGCAGTCAGGAGCGTCCGCCGTCCGGACTGTCCGGCCGGACAGTCCCGCCTAGTCAGGACCGCCTAGTCAGGACCGTCCGGTCGGACATTCCTGCCGCCGTCAGGACTGTCCGGGCCCCAGTCAGGAGCGTCCGGCCCCCAGTCAGGGATGTCTGGGTGTAAAAAAAAATCGCTGTGCAACTTCTTCTGAATTTGGTCTGGTAAAATACTTTGCTTCAATCCATTCACTGAAGCAATCACATACCATAATAATGCCAGTAAAACCACTGTCAGTAGGAACTAGTTTAGGGAATTAGGGAATTACCAGCTCCCTCATGTGCTGCCTTCAAGTAACGCTGTTGGTCTTCTTTTTTGAAAATAACCCTTAAATATGTGGGTTCTTTGACCTTTTTCACTTCAGCGTATCTAAATAATAAAATTAAGTTGATTTAAAAGTTATTATTGGTCGGAAGATTATTACTGAAGAATTTTGAATGAAAAATTTGATTAAAAGTTTTTATTAAAAATTTCTTGCAGGTGAAACCTTCAAGATTTTCAATAACTTTCATCATTTAACATGCTTTCAACCACTGTCTATGTAGTTCTGTACTATTTCATTTGTAAAACCTTCATATTATTGGATTTTCAATCCCAGACGCTCCCGACTGGCGGCAGGACGCTCCCGCCTGGGGGCCGGACACTCTGGACCGTGGGTCGGACGCTCCCAACTAGGTGAGAGTGTCCGGCCGGACGCTCCTGCCTACCCGGACGCTCCCGACTCCTACACCGGAAAGAATGTTAGATGGATATTTGCCTTGCTAACATTTTTATAATCTGCAGTGAAACGTTAGAACGCGAGCGCCTGTGTGCAAATGAAATGATGTTAAGAAAAATACTTTTATATTTTTACTGTACAAGAAAGTTCAAAATTCTGTACTGTAGTAGGGAATGACGCGAAGTTAGTTCATTTCGCAAAGTTGTTGATTGTGTGAGACCGAATGCCCGAAAACTGTTGAAAAGTACCGATATAGTATTTATCAGAAAGATATACCGAGAAGATTTCACTTCAAAGTTCTGTTCCGGCGAAAATATGCAGGAATTACCTTTTTTATACCTACAATCAATGACATAATTATTGCATAGGTATTGTTGAAATGCCGATCGTCGTCGTAATTTAATTGAAGTGGGTGATGAGAGAAGCGTTACCTTCAGTACGTTTCGAACAGCAGAATAATCTGACGAGTTTTATTCTTTATAGCTGTCGGATGAAAACATTTTTGGTCAGCCGTTTTCGGTAAAAGATAAAAAAATTCGTTGAAAATGATCAGAAATCGTGCACTTGTTTCTAAAAAAAAAAAATCGCTGAATTTCATCTTTCGAATGTGACTGAATCTCGCAGAATTGAAGCAATACGAGGAGGAGTTCGAGTCCATCACTGTTGACCGAGAAGAGGAATTCGCGTCCTACCACCGAATTCAGAAAACTTTGGCGGAACACAATGCCAATTTGCGGGTTTTGATGAAATTACCCAAGTACCTTGTACCCTTCCTGAATCCTGGGCGTCTCATAGAGGTAAAGTGCTTCTTTCATTTCGGATATTTCATCCTTGAAATTTTTAAATGTGTACGCGAAAATTAATTTGAATAAACTCCCTTCATCATCAGGTCCAGCAGTGCCCTGGTAAATATTTCGGCTGGTGCATGGTAGTGTCTCTAAAAAAGATAGAGCCTGAGAAAAGCAAAAGGCGGAAAATGGACGAAATTGTTGTGGAAGAGCCGAAATATGAAGTCCACGTGTTGCTAAGAATGAAGAAAGATCAACAGCCGCCGGTTCCGGCTGGTCCCAGAGACGTGGCCGTAAATGAAGTTGTTGCTGTTTTCCTCCCGCAAATTCTTCGTGTGTCAACCGTGAAAGTCCCGGTTCCGAACGACCTGACGCACAGGGACAGTCGAGCGAAAGTCATGCTGAATATCGAGGTACAAATTTATTCAAGAAACCAATTTACATTCCGAAAATCCGAATTTTTCATATCTTTTGGATTGAGCTATTCTAACAATTTACCTGACTAATTTCCATAAATTGTATCTTTTGAAACAATTTGAGGTGGATTTTGTGATTTTCGTCGCAGAAATGGGAAATATAATATGAAGATGAAAAGTTTTCTTGACCGATTTAAACTCGCGAAACATTTGGTCAATCATTCATTTAAAAAATGAGGTTACTGTGATTCGGATTTTCAGAAAAAAAAATCCTTGGCGATCAGTTTTATATTTTTGAATTTTCTTTAATCAGATGCCAGCGATTTTTTTTTGGTTCGTCATCACGTTTACGACGAATTCTTCTGTAGAAAATCGCGACACTGTACGAAACGTAATTCTTTGAATGAATTTCACGTCCTTCTGCTCAAATACGTTACCTATTACCATGGCTCAATTCTCAATTTGTAAGCCTTCACAAAATTTTATCTATTGATAATTTTATTTAACGGAACAAAGTTAGATGGCAACTCCAGAGACTCTTCGTCGCTTGCGTCGCAGTACTTTATTTCAGAAATCCTATTACACTGGATGAGTCAAAAAGAGTATTGTATCGCCAAATTGCAGCAATATTAATTTTTCCAAGTTAAATCGAACTTCTAACTCTGAGGAATATTGCGTCTATAAGTCAACGAGAAATACTCAAGGTATTCATAGAAAAATGTGGCTCTTTAATATTCAATTCTATTACACTCTTCTGGGTTGTTCTAGCGTGTCGTGCTTGCGTTCATACGTTTCCAATCGATACTGAAAAGAAACGCACATTTTTAAATGATACATTATTTTTACGTAAATACTATATAAATATCCAAGAAGTTGCTTGCAAATTCTACCGTTTTTTTTTTTTTTTTTTTTTTCAGAATGTCTCTCGCCGTTTCAAAGGGGAACTCCCCGAGCTTTCCGCCAGCAACATGAATATCAAAGAACCGAGCTACAACTCGTCTATGAAAGCCATCGAAGAGTTCAGCTCCCGACTCAAAGCCCATCCACTCTACAACACACCGAACGTCGATAAACTCTACCAGCAATTCCTCGCCAAAACAAACGCGCGGTTGAAAGGACTAGAGGCCAAGAAAAAGCTGCACGAGGCCCAAGAGCTCATCAAGATGGAAGAGCTGCGGAAAAAGAAGCAGGTGTTGCAATCCCTGACTTATTGCTCCAAAGAAGGTGTGTTGGACCTGAAGGGCCGAGTGGCGTGCGAGCTGAGCACCGCAGACGAGTTGTTGTTGGCGGAGATGTTGTTCAATGGAGTGTTCACGGATTTGTCTCCTGCCAACACAATGGCTGTTTTGTCGTGCATGGTGTGTGATGAAAACACGAAATCGAAGGAGTTTTCTGGGCTCTCCGAAGAGCTCTCTGGTCCCCTACGTCAAGTGCAGGTTCGTCATTTGGAAAACAGACTTGAATGGATGTTATGATTCCAGGGTTGCTTTAAATGTTCCATCAATTTTTTTTTCCTGGCTCCCCGCTTTAGAAAAAAACACGTTCAACGAAAATTTCCCTTTACGAAATTTCCGAAGGGGAATAAACATAACGAAAGGGTTTCGCATAACGGAATTCCGTTGCCGAAAAGCAAAAAAAAAAAAAATTGGCGAATTTTGGGCTGAAAATGGATTTTTTCGAAGATTGAGGAGGTTGAAAAAATTGATGAATTATTTTTTCCTTATGCGGGAACCCACTTTATTTATAAGACTATTAATCACATGCCTGTAAACGTCGCACAATAAGTTTGGGCAGGAATTATATAAAAAAAAATTATTCAATTCCCAGAAAACGTGGAGCTTGGTAGATAAGTGTCTCACCCAATTTTTTTCTACGAACTCTTCGGAGAATAAAAAATTGCAACCTATGCTCGAGTGAATACTATACGATATTCAAAAAATTATTGACCTCTCAAATTTCACTTGTCTTTCATTTCAGGATCTGGCCAAAAACTTGGTCAAAAGCTACAAAAGCGCAGGGCTGGAAGTAAATCCGGATGATTACGTATCTCAGTTCAAACCGCATCTAATGACGGCCGTCCATGCTTGGTGCAATGGCGCAAGTTTCGCGAAGGTGACAACGTTGACGGACATTTTCGAAGGTTAGTTTTCGTTTCATCATGGTTTCCTCTTTTGTGGAAAATCTGGGCATCCAGGGATAGTTTTTTCCGCACATGGGAACCTTGCGCTAAAGAAAAAATCTGAAAGCGGAAAATCGAGAAGTTTATTTCTATCTGTGTGTTATTTATTATTGACTTTACTAGTTAGTAACCTAATACCAGACTAATTGAGATTAACAGCACAAAGTTGAGTATATTTTTCCTCGGATAACGTGCACTACCGTATGTATATCACGAAGGATTCCTGCGGATGCCGATTTTTGCTTCAGATAGTGAAACCTCATTCGGATAATAAACTGTATGATTGTCCTAAAAATATTTTGTGGGAAATGTTGCTGCTAGCATCTTTTCAAAGGAAAACAAATTTCCAATGCACTGTACTGAAAAAGCGTGAATTGTTGGGTATTTTATTTTTTGCGTGTTTCTGATGTGTTGATTGTTATTTTCCCGTAATATTCTTGATAGTGTCAATTGTTGAACAAATGTTTACGTGTTTTTTTTTTATCATGCGTTGATCGTAATTTATTCAATGCAGTGCATTAAATAAATTGTGAAGGTAAGGATCCAAATGTTGGTGATCGGATTAGCTATTTAAACAGCTTCTCAATACTGTACTCAGTTGAGGAACTTTTCGGGTATCTGGAACCGATTAGCCAATTTATGATGCTTTAAATTACTTGGTCCACAAGTCTTTTGGATTTAGGTAGGGTCACTGCACAAATTTGTTTCACCCCTCTTTAATAATAAGTACAATTGCCTGAAGGCATCGTTGTTTCGGCCTAGTAAAAGAAAACAATACTGATTATTCCAATACCGAATTCGATTGAAAAAAAAAATTCGAAATGTTCTCAGGGAGCATAATTCGATGTATGCGACGCCTGGAGGAACTTTCGAGGCAAATGATTCAAGCTGCCCGTGGCATCGGCAACAAATCGCTGGAGGATAAATTCGCAGAAGGCATCAAGATGCTGAAGAGAGACATTGTGTTTGCAGCCAGTCTTTACCTCTGATCTTCCTATTTTCACCCACTCGGGGTTTTTTTTTCGTTCGAGTTATGGAATGAATTCAGAATTTTGCACTTGAGTTCTCATTTCCTTCGTTTTTGGAAGCTTCGGCGTGACATTTTGGATGAAAATTTTGTGACGGATGATTTTCAGGTGGGTGCGGGAGAGAGCATTTGCTCGGTCTGAGTCATGTACTGGCCGCAGTGGATCTCTTACAATGGTGAGACTGATCTAATTTACGCCTATTTAACGTGTACAATGATGACGTTTTTTGTTTTGTTTTGGAAATCCTAGGGTGAAACTATCACGGATATTTCAGCGATTCATGAAAGCTGAACGCCATGGATATGTTTCCCGTTGGAAGAGGTACGTTTTGCTTCTCATGCTTAAACCCTTCTGTGTTCTGATTACCCCCTTTTCTGAAATACAAGGTATGACCGACGCGTAAAATAAGCCCTGTAAATCTCTACGATAATCTGTTTGGGTAAACCCTCGACGAAGAAAAATCTCCACTTGAATAAAAATCACATTTAATTGAGGGCCATGCAAATTACTGTTGCCTAAACTAAGAAGAACGTTTGAAATTTGTGTATTTTTACTGGAAACTTCCAACATTGCCTTCGGAGTGTCTCGGAGGTGTCGCCTGAATGCCAAATCTTGCTGGCGATAATCTACCCGAATTTGACATTACCCAAGTCTGCCTTGGACTTAATATCGCTGGTTTCGTATTGCAGTGTCACCAGGACCAGTCGGTTCGGTTGGGCCAATCGGTCCGCCGGGTCCCGTTGCACTGCCTAATCCGATCGGTCCTCCCGCTCCAATCGGTCCCCCTTCAACTTCTGGCAACATTCATGGGCCCGTTGGCCCACCAAGAACTTCGTCATCCTCTGAATTTGGAGCCAGCAATGCTGTTTCACTGCGTACCTCTCCTTGCGAGAATCAAGGTTCGGTAATTTGGCAGCTGCTGAAAGGCAGTCTCCCTGTCTCAGTTCCACGTGCCCTTGTTGGAGAGGAAAGCAAATACGTTTCTGAAACTTATTCTGTCCTCATTGAATATATAGTCGACGTAGGATCAATTTAAGCAAAAAAGTCTTTCCACGGCGGGTATTATTAGGTTATTACGGTCCTAAGATATTTTTTTTATTATGTCTCAGAATTAAATCCCTCAATATTTCAGTGTATAGCTCGATTTTCGTTTTCATACACTTATAAAGAGCGATACTGAATTTGGTTTTCTCACCTTGCACGATTTTTTTTAAAACCGTTTGTGCTTCTGTTTCTGGAATATTTTCATGTTTCCTAGATTTGGCTTAAAAAATCAGCCTTATCAAAAATGACGTAAAATCTCATTCGAGACCAAAGTGAAAGGTACAAAATTTAATAAGAGAGTGCAAACAAAGGTGTCCGCAATCCAGAAATCAAGGGTGGACTTATGGGGAAAATAATTAAAAATGAAAAAAATTAATTGGTTTCCTTCAATTTTTGAACTTTGAGAATTTTTGCGATGGAATCTTATCTGAATTTCTTGCTCTCCTAGGAGCATTCACGTGTCCGAGGCGGCCGAATATCGGTAAAGATGGAAAGCCAATCGCTCTACGTGCCAATCATTTCCAGATCAACATGCCAAACGGGTTCATCCATCATTATGATGTAACAATTCAGCCCGACAAGTGTCCTCGGAGAGTCAACAGGTTTGTAGTGTATTCACCTTAAATATTTTTTTAAAGTACTGTAATTATGTAACCTCTTTTTTAAATTTTGTTACAGGGAGATTATAGAGACCATGGTTAATGCGTACGGGAAAATATTCGGAACGATGCGTCCGGTGTTTGATGGCAAGAGTAACATGTACACCAGAGACCCACTGCCTTTGGGGAAGGATAAAGTGGAACTAGAAGTGACTTTGCCCGGTGAAGGAAAAGATCGGGTATTTTGCGTTTCCATGAGCTGGGTGGCTCAAGTGTCCCTGTATGCGTTGGAAGAGGCCCTTGAAGGAAGAAGTCGCACAATACCCCTGGATGCCATGGCAGTGAGTTAAATTTTATATCAATACCTTCTGGATGTAAAGCTTTGTCCGTTCCTGTGGGAAATTCTCTGAGAATTTATTACCCGACTTATTCTGAGCTGATATATAACGATTGGCTGATTAGTTCGGGGCCCCGTAACCGAGTTACGTGAATTTGCTCAACCATTTCCTTGGAAATTTAATTCATAAATCCTGGACTAAATTACCAAATGAGTAAATGATCAAAGCAACTTACAGTAATTTGAATCACTATAAAGCAAAAGCACTCGAGATTACGAATATATTTTAACCATATGACAAATTATGTTTTTCGTCAATTTTCCCAGAGCAAGTTCTGTTTCCTTCAAGGAATATCACTTCGTGTGCTTTCGAATAATTGAATCGTGGTCCACTATCCGAAGCAGGTATTGAGTCCAGAAATTGGGGAAAATTCACTTTACCTGGACTTGAAAATATGTGATGGAATTGAATGTGAATAACAATAGAGGTCGGTCAACTCTGGTAAATTACCATTCTGATGTATTGCAAAATTTTAAAAATCTGCAGGTTCTGTTGAAACATCGGTTGCCGTTTTTTTCAGGAGGTATAATTAAATTACTTAGTAAATTTAATGAGATGGAGATAAAGCTCCGAATTCATCTACACATGCCGCTTTTCGGTATTTTTCTCTTAAATGAAGGGTATTCGCAGTTTTGTAAGTTGAATCGAATTTTTTTTTTGGTTCATGGCAAAGAGGTTGTTGAAAGACTGCGCGAAAAAATAAATATTTATTGAATCAAACGAAAACAGTTCTGGTCTTTTTGTGGAAAATGATTTCGAATTTATTTTTTCCTTCGTTTTCCAGGCGATGGATGTGGTAGTTCGGCATTTGCCATCCATGGCCTACACTCCTGTTGGCAGAAGCTTCTTCTCGTCGCCGGAAAATTATTATCACCCGCTAGGAGGAGGCAGAGAAGTTTGGTTTGGTTTTCATCAGTCAATTCGTCCTTCTCAGTGGAAAATGATGCTCAATATTGATGGTGAGGAAAGACGACATTTCGAATTCTTATGTTTTTTTTTTTGCGTAAAACGTTCGACATTGCGTAATGGAGAGCCTCATAGGTGTCGCCTGAGTGCCTATTTGCTGACGATGATCAACTCGAATTAAGCTTAAACCAACTTGGAAGCAAATGATATTCAGGCTACATTGAAACGTGAAACGCTCATTTGAAAAGAACTTGATTTTCATATCGTCCGAAAATGTGATAACGTGAACCCTTTATAGTATTTATGAGACTCGATTACGCGGATTCGAATTATTCCGTTGGTAATGCAAAATTTAGATGCAAGATGAATACGTTGTGATGTATATCTATTGGTTTTAATCTCTTCATTTTCAGTTTCTGCGACAGCTTTCTACAAAGCACAACCTGTAGTGAAATTTTTGTGTGAAGTTCTGGATATCATGGATATCAAGGATCAGCGGAAACTGCTCACCGACTCACAACGCGTGAAATTCACCAAGGAGATCAAGGGTCTCAAAATTGAAATCACTCACTGCGGCAACATGCGGCGGAAATATAGGGTTTGCAATGTCACTCGCCGTCCAGCGCAAATGCAATCGTAAGTAAAATGTTTTGTATACTTTTTTGATACCGGTTTGTTAAACGCTTTGGATAGTTACATTTTCCCCCAACATCTCAAAGATCCAAGTCTTCCACATCTAGTGGACGAAAAACGAAGTTTTTTCTCCATATGTCTGTTGTTTTTTGTACATTCTAGTTATTTTGGTTTCGTCATGACTTGGGTCCTTCTAAGAAATCTGTCAAAAAAATCCTTGAGTTCACTAATCCGGCAACAGTTTGTTGGTGAGACTGAAAAGTACTTTATTATAATATTGCAGATTCCCGTTGCAGCTGGATAGTGGACAAACAGTGGAATGCACGGTTGCGAAATACTTTTTGGATAAATACAAGATGAAGCTCATTTACCCGCATTTGCCGTGTCTTCAAGTGGGACAGGAACACAAACACACCTACTTGCCGTTGGAGGTTTGTCTCGGAGGAGCATTTAATTTATATGGAAAATTCGAAAAATCCATCGAAAATCAAGACATTTTCCGCATTTTTTTGAACCATCTAAAAGCCAATGTGTTTGTCTGTGAGGTTTTGTCTAGCTACTATAATATGTCTTATTTTTCATTCATTTTTTAACTAGAAAGATTTTTGTAAAGCGAGAAAACTGTCATGTATTGTAGACGCGTGATTCCAAAAAATTGTAAGCTTTTCTATTGATTGTTGACAAAGTCGATAATGAGGAAGATAAATAGGAACTGAGTGTAACTTGTTGATTGGAAAGTAGCATAAATATGGAAGAACAAGCGAGCTGATCCAGTATTATGTTCAATTTAAAAAACGGATGCGTTCTCTGAGATAATTAAGAATCTTCTACTTGCACAGAATTCATTTGCGTCTAGTAAGCTTGTAGATGAAATATTCCAGGATTTCAGCAACCGTTACGAATTTAATTGAACTTCCTGGCATGTAGTCCATGTAATTTTAGACGCTCATCAATATTGGCAGGTTTGTAGCCTGGTGGCTGGCCAGAGATGCCTCAAAAAGCTCACAGACATGCAGACTTCGACGATGATCAAAGCCACTGCCCGATCGGCCCCCGATCGAGAATCCGAAATCAACGCTCTGGTGGACAAAGCCAACTTCAACAACGACCCCTATGTCAAAGAATTCGGGCTCAACGTTGCCAGCTCAATGATGGAGGTCCGTGGACGCATTTTGCCGGCGCCGAAGCTTCAATACGGCGGCCGGTCTCGGCAGCAAGCCTGTCCCAGTGCTGGTGTGTGGGACATGCGAGGCAAGCAGTTTTACGCTGGCGTCGAAATCAAAGTTTGGGCAATTGCGTGTTTTGCCTCGCAAAGAATGGTTCGGGAAGAAGCTCTTCGGTGAGTTCTGTTGATGAAAATCTCGTTTTAGCTTTTTTTTATCTTGTGGAATTATCATAAGCAAAAAAGTCACTGTCAACGATACCTCGAATCTGGCGAATGAAGAAGAAATTCATTTGCGTATTAATTTTCTGGCCTGAGGAATTTTTTGTTTGAGAGTTCCGAAATTTTTGACATCCCTTAAAAAAACTTTAAATCGAGTTATGTAATGATGGTTGAATCATCCTTTATGGATGCAGATTCCTTGAAATCGGCAGTCTTTCACTCATGAATAAATTACTAATCAAGTCACGAGATGCAGTATCACTGTTGTAATATTCGTCTACGTTTTAAATAGTCAATTCTGCAGAAATAATGTCTCGAGCGCATTTTGAGAAAATTAAATAAATGTACAGTACTTGCACCTACTTTGACGATACATGCTTGTTGTGGAACTTTTCTTGCTTGGAATGTTGGGCAGATATCACTTGAATCACCACGTTAACAAACGCTGAACGGAAGGGAACTGGCAAGAGTAAACATATTTGAAGTGAAAATAAATAATAATAAATCTATTCGTCCATTTCGGGACTTCTGGCGTTAAGGGAATAAGCCTTGAAATTTTTCATGTCCCGGCCATGAGCATTTTGAATTGAAGTTGAAGCTGAAATAAGTAATCTCAGGGTGTACTCAAAAATCAGCAAGAAATCTTGCTTATTGTCGGAGTTTTTTTTGTGTACAGGGGTTTTACGACGCAGCTGCAAAAAATCAGCAGTGACGCGGGGATGCCCATCATTAGCGGACCGTGTTTCTGCAAATACGCCACTGGTCCGGATCAGGTCGAACCCATGTTTCGTTACTTGAAGCTCAACTTTGAAGGACTCCAACTCATATGCGTTGTGTTGCCCGGGAAAACTCCTGTTTACGGTGAGCAAAAAAGATTCGTCATTTTTGGGTCTCATCATCACTGATGGATTCGTTTGATTATTATTCTAGCTGAGGTGAAGCGAGTTGGAGACACACTCCTCGGGATGGCGACGCAATGCGTGCAGGCGAAAAATGTCAACAAAACCTCGCCTCAAACTTTGTCAAACTTGTGCCTGAAAATGAACGTGAAATTGGGTGGAGTGAACGCAATTCTCGTTCCGCACATTCGACCAAAGGCGAGTGGTCTCCTTATGTTTCTATTATAAATTTCGCATTCCGACTGACAAATTGCGTCATAATTCATCTTCTATGAATTCATCAACATGAAACTGGGAATTTGAAAAATACAAACAGAACGAGGAAGCGGCGTCTTCACCTGAAGAGTCCTATAAATCCTATTAAACGGAGTTTTCTGATAGCTTTTGAAATCTTTCGAAAAATCCCCAGGAATAGTTGTGCCTCGAATTTTAAAATATATATTTTTTCTTGTGTAGCGTTTCCTGAATCATGAACCTGACCAGAATAATCAAGATACTGTAACAATAATCAGACTGATTAGATATCCAGATACAGGTGAAACCTATGTATCATCACATAGATTTCGCCCAGAAGAACCGTTATTGGTGCTTCCTGTTTTTTTATGCTGAAAAAGAATGTTCGAATGAATGAATATAATTTTATGTTGTAGATATTCAACGAGCCGGTGATCTTTTTGGGGGCGGACGTGACGCATCCTCCAGCCGGTGACAGCAAGAAACCGTCGATTGCTGCAGTTGTTGGCTCAATGGACGCTCATCCTTCTCGTTATGCTGCCACAGTTCGCGTTCAACCTCACCGACAAGAAAACATCCAAGAACTGTCCGCCATGGTTCGAGATTTGTTGATTCAGTTTTATAAGTCGACAAGGTTCAAGCCGAATCGGATGGTGTTGTTCCGTGATGGGGTCAGTGAGGGACAGTTTTTGAACGTGAGTCTTTAGTCTGACTGATCGTTTAGCTTTTCGAGTGTTCTGAAGCTTTTATTGTAAATTATTTTTGCTTCTCTTTTCGAAACATTCTGTTGCTGCTTTGTGAGCGGAGCAGCAGTGTCCGAATTCTTGTCTTTTAGTTGTAGATTTTAGAAGTTTTATTTTATTTTTTTAATCGGATTGCGTGAATAAATGTTTTTAAGGAATTTAAATTGAGAATAAAGACCTGTATTTTAAATGAAAATTATAAATGTAAGGTATGCTTTCTGTTATTCAGGCTACCCTATTTTATCTCCTCACTAAATCAGTTGAACAGTAAGAAATTAGTGATGATCAGCAGAAAGCCTATTTAGTTGGATTAACCGTAATAAAAGAAAAGTGAAGGTCCACAATATTATATTGGAGATTTAATTCTGCTTCATACATGTGATATATTAACTTATATAAGAAGAAGAAATGTCCCCCAAATATGAAGGACCATGTGAAATAACTCAAGTAATTAATTATTTATATTTTCGTATGTTTTTTCTTCATTTATTGGAAATTATTCTTGGTGGAACCCATTGAGGCGTGCTTTGTACATTCGTTACATATTTAAAGGATTCCAGGTGAAGATTTCTCATGAGTTAGATGAAGCATTTTCTAGGAAGAATTTCCTTAATATGTTGTTCTAGGATTAATTTCAAGTTCCTATCCGTGTACAATAGTTATGATTCAGTCTCATTTTCATAGTGTTCCAAAAATGGGACGGAATTTTGATTTTCTGAGGTAATCACGGGAAATTTATTTCATATTGCATCACAGGTGCTGCATTTGGAACTGGCTGCAATAAGAGAAGCGTGTCTGCAACTGGAACAGGACTACAAGCCTGGTGTGACGTACGTGGTGGTGCAAAAACGTCATCACACGAGGCTGTTCTGTGCCAACAAGATGGACCAGAGTGGACGATCAGGGAATATTCCAGCCGGGACTACAGTTGATATCGGAATCACCCATCCCACCGAATTTGACTTCTATTTGTGCTCTCATCAGGGAATCCAGGTTAGACTTCATTTTTCAAGAACGAACGTCCAGATCTTGTTACAGGGGCTAACTAAAACGGCGTCAGCTTCCGGTGAATGTAGTAGAACTTCGTTCAATGTTCATCCCGTGCGTCTAATTCGAGTTTATGCTGTATTTTGATGATTTTATTTCATTAGGGAACGAGCAGACCATCTCATTACCATGTTTTGTGGGACGACAATCAGTTCGACGCCGACGAATTGCAGCAATTGACGTACCAATTATGCCATACGTACGTGCGTTGCACGAGGTCCGTGTCTATTCCTGCTCCTGCTTATTACGCACACTTGGTGGCGTTTCGGGCTCGATATCACCTGATTGAGAAGGACCCGGACAGGTTAGTTTCTTTCTTTGATATCTGAAAAATTCAGAATTCATTTTGCGAGTTCAGTACAGTATGTATTCGTCTCGAACTTCTTAACTCAAAGAAAAAGTTTACCTCAGTTGCCGGACAAAATAAATATTATTTCGATCCCATTTGACCAGGCGATTCCGCAAAACAACTCAGACTAGTGCAGGAAAATGCCCTTCCATATATGTATTATCAACTTCAGCATTTCGTTGCCTGATGCTTATGACAATGATTATCACATTAATAGCAAGGCTGCCTGAATTTTTGAATCATCCATCGTTTCTTACTACGTGTATAATCCTCCATTCGTTCGGTTAATTCGTCCCTCGATGCTTAAAAACGCTGGTTGGGCCTATGATTTATCAGTTTAGAGCTGACTTGGATTTTTGAGATGGAGCAAATCATTTTGAGGAAATTCAAGATGACGAAGAAATCAAGCCTGGTTTACTTTCTAACCGAAGTTTAAATTATTCCGTGGGCTTCTTAATAATATGACCTCTAACGAGGGAAAATTCAGAGGCCAAAATAAATTTATGTTATCGTTCAAGAGTAGTCAGCATTCGATTTTTTCAAATCAATTTTTTTCATTATTCTAGGCTTTCTCTGTTTTTTTTTTATGAATTGGCTGTCAAAAATTGGGTGCGTCCGTAACTCGCAGGCGACCCAAAATCGCTCAAATAATGTGATTAAAGTGGCCGTTCTGTATCATGTAATATTTCTTTCTTTGTGTAGTGGAGAAGGTTCTCAGCAGTCAGGAAACAGCGAAGATCGAACCCCCACAGCAATGGCAAGAGCAGTGACCGTCCATCCGGAGACCACCAAAGTCATGTACTTCGCCTGAAAAAGATGAGCCAAAAAATCGGATTCAAGACGAATGAAAACCGAACCCGAACCTTTATTCTTTTGGGCAAAGAATCAAGTTGGGAGTTCACTTTTCGTCGTTCCTCCTTGCGTTGTGATACGAGGTGGAATTGTGTGTGTCTCTTGTATTGAACATTCCTCGAAAGAATTGGTTCCCCCCCCCCCCCCCCCCCCCCCCCCACCCCCC